AGTGGGCTATGGTACGACCATGAGTTTACGTAAGCATTCGACAACTTGAACAGGACAGTCGATATGCCACCAATATGTTTCCTGATTTCAGTTGCGTAAACGGTTGTAGTCACAAAGCCGTTACAAGCGTTTTCACAAGCTAGCCATGGTCGTCTGCTGAACAAAATCTTTCTATGCATTCGCTAAACTTTGACAACTGGGAAACACGGATGGTTTTTTTTAAATCCGTCACAGATTCTGCAAATTTGAGTTTGCCATTGTCTTTTAATCTGCCAAAAAACTAACCGATCTATGTAACAACAAATTCTTTTGTCAGAACTTGTAACACTTGATATCCATCTCGTTTTAATGCATTTTAAGCATTATGCACTATATAGAGCACCGGCAACTCTGCATACCGTTATAAGATTGCATGAAAACGCCCACGACCAAACAACTGGCGTTTTCCATGAGCATCGGATATCGTTTATGTCGATGTCTATTTGCAAGTTCTCGCTCCCCAAAACTGCAAACAAACACATACAATAAATTTCTTAATTTACTGTAGGTACAAGTAGTTCAAACACCGTAAAGTGTAAACAGTATGTTGCGCTTCCTTGATAGGTCAGTTAAGAATATAGTCTTGCGTCTTGCACACTTCTTGCTTTGCCTCCTACGCATCTTGATGCTCCACAACCTTTTGCTTTGTGGACGTGCTGCAGAACTCCTGCGATGACCTTTGTGTTATGTTGTTTAAACGCATGACCAGGATGATCATGCATCGCGAGTTCTGCCTTCGGATAGACAAGCCTTGTCATGGTTTTAATCGTAAGTATTCATTCCATAGTATTCCAAATAAACGGTATATTTGTCGCGAATAAACGGTATATGTATTTCTTGGTCGAGCTAGATCATGATCTAAAATTGGTATTAGAAAATTATCCATGAATACGAGTACTGCTGTTTATACAGTAATTGTCTTGAGTTTGCATTGTGGTGGATGTACAGGACTTACGGAGGCCAGTGTTGGTATTGTAAATACTAGTTTAATATCTAGAAAATATCTAGAGTACGTGTTGTACTATAAAGAGATTCCGGTTTTTATATACAAACGGTACGTTGAGCTACGCCCACGACGGTACGGTACGTTTAGTTGTCCTTTCGCTAGTTAGGCAGCCGGTAAACCTTTCAGAATCACAGCAAATTAAACCTTGGACAAACCTTCTTCATTGAACTGCAGGTTCATGTCACTAATTTCGAAGCGAAAAGTTCTCTGAAACTTTGCGTATGTACTACGAACGCCAATGCGCGTGTTTAAAAATTTAAGGAGCACCGCCGTTAATCGGATTATGCTCGCACATCTACCGGTATCTTTCAAGTTTGTAACTCAAGAAGTATGTCGCACACGCACAGTATTTTGTTTACACTTTACACACCAACGATCATTCATCAAAATGCATAATTGCAGACTTAAGGCTGTTATTGATCATATTGCCGGTACATAGTACTACATACAGTAAACAAAATTGGAATGAAAGGTTTCTTTTCAAATCATTCAAAAGTTAACGTATCACATTATACAGAACAAATAATGCATTTACTTTTCTTCCAAATGAAGTCAGTTAACTGTGTACGCAAAAACACCGACTCCAGGCGATCCGGAAGGTGGACTCGACGCGGGGGTGGAAAGGTCAGTCGCCAGAGGGGGTTGCTGGGGAACTTTCGGCTCCACTGGGGTCTGGTACTTGAGAGCCTCCTCCTTGAGAACCCTTCGATTCTTCTCCCGTTTAGCCTCAAACAGCCGTCGCAGCTCCTGCCGACGCTCCGCCGTCATCCCCTCCAGCGGTGGCATGCCGGAAGTGCCATCTGAATGGAGGAAACGCTCCAGATCCCTCTCCGTCTTTATCAGCTCCTTGAACGTGCCTTTGTCCTCGGCGTCCTGGATGGGTGACAGCTCGCGGTCCAGCTCGCGACGCACTTCCTGCAGACGTTGCGGTGAGAAGCGGAAGGACGGCGTCCCCACGGTTAAGTAGAACTGCAGCATATCGGCGTCCCGCAACTGCTTTTGGTAGGTAGCATTGGCCATCTGTTTAAATAATTGCGATCGGTAATCGGCAGACTGCTGGCGAATTGTCTGCTTCTCTTCGGGGGTGAGTTGGAGGATAGGGAAGCCGGTTAAATTGGAAATGGCCGCTGCGCTGGCGTCGATGTCAACCGGAGTGGAATGCACAAAAGAATCCAGAGATAAGCATATCAATACGGAGGCCACAGCGTATGCCCACATCATGGCTCACTTGAAATTAGGAATGTACGTTATAATTAAAAATATTATGAAATGTTCGATACGAAATGCTGTACCAGGCAGCAATATTGCTGGAGTTAACAGGTCTATGTTAAAGGTCACCTCCACGTTTGTAAGAACTGTTTTAACTTGAAACCGTTAGCGATCGAAGCAGCGAAATAGTCGAGTACATTATCGAAAATTGAGTTTTATACTACGTGGTCGGATCGTGACATCAGTCCGTACAGTAATCCGGTATCCTGCTCAACTTCGACTCAACTTTGATACGGATGCGATATAGAGTGATACTGATCTTGTTGTTCGGTGGCTTTGTGCCTTGTGCATGACGCAGCTTTGTGCCCGTATTAGCCTACAGCAATTCTGTGACGTGTTGCTTCTCTAGCGTACGTAATATTATGTACTTGCTAATATTATGTACTTATATAATATTATGTACTTGCTGCCTTGCAGTTTATAAGAACATTAAATAACTGCGTAAGTTTTATTTTAATATGATGATTTATATTACAGAAAACTAGAGATACCGAGGCGCATCGTTTTGTATTGTGCAACGCTTCTTGCACACAATTGTTTCCAGATTGCACGTACATAAAGTTTCATGGTAGCATACGAAAAATCCAGATGTGTTTTTATGAGCCTCTTCCATTGATGCAGCGTTCTGGCTTCCCAAAAATGCAAATAAGCACAATATACCATCGAATCTACCGAAACTGGACAGTTCACAACATCATCAGCTATAAATGCAAAATGCCACCCCAGTCCCGGAAATTCGTTCCGAAAATAGTAATTTTGTGCATTTTAAGAGAAAGAACAAAATTGTTAATTAGCCATCGAATGACCATTCTCTCATAGGCATTTTTTGTTAAAAAACGGGCAATTGGGATGGTATAATTACGGGCAAGGGATTTGTTACGTGCTTGTATTTTTCGAATCAATTTTTTTGACATGGATTCGAAACAATTAAATATCGTATCTGAGCACTTCTTGACCTTTCATCGGCGAAATTATTGGAAAACACCGCAACTGTAGCATGGCTGTTGTAGGGTTTTTGCGATTTTTACACGCCGGGCACCGGTATATATACGCATCTGAATTTAAATTTTAAGTGCGCTTTTTGCCTTTTACTGCAAGATTGCCGAACGAACACGAACATTTTCGATTTTATTCTGCTGTGCTATTTTTCGGAAGGATCTTATAATAATTTCGATTTTTACGGTACGTACGCCGCATTCTTGTCGCGATAATTCCGATAAATTACAAACAAATCACGAAGGAAGCTGAATGTAATCACACTGCCAAAAGGTCACTATAGCTAGCGTCATACAGAAGAAAAGGAACCGATTTTATTTCTGTCCAAACATAATCTAAGGGGAATCATAAAAAGGGAAACCTGAATCAGGATGCATAGGCGATCCGAACCCCGGAAGCGATGCCGGGTGGAAAATGGCAGCGGCCGGGCCCGAAGCTCGTGGGACAGTTTCCGGCTTCACGGATTTCTGATACTTGCGATCCTCCTCCGCCTGCAACTGCCGAATCTCCTCCCGGCGCTCCTCAAACTGCCGGCGCAGCTCCTGCAGGCGTTCAGCCGTCATCCCGTCCAGCTGCAGCGCGGATGTTAATGTGCCGTTTGAACTGAGAAAATGCTCAGCGTTCTTTTCCATCCACAACTGCAACCGGTACCCGTTCGCATCCTTATCGTCCTGGATGGGTGCTTGCTCGCGTTCAAACTGACGACGAACTACCTGCATACGCTCCGGGGAGAAACGGAAAATGTGCGTCGGCACGGTGAGGTATAGTTGCAGTAAAGCGGCGTCATTCACCTGTTGGTAGTAAAAAGCCTTAGCCATCTGCTTCCAGAGTTGCGATCGGAATTCTTCGAACTCCTGGCGAATCGTCTGTTTTTCGTCGGGGGTTAGCAGCTGGGCTGTAGGGACGCTGGTGAAATTGACGAGGGCCGTTAATAGCGTCGTTGCATTGGTGTCGGTGCTGTTAACGGGAGCGGAATACACACAAAAATCCAATGATAAACACAGCAGAGCGGTAGTTACAGCGAATTTCCACATCATGGCGCACTTGCAATAAAAAAGTAGGAAAAATACAATATACGTTTAACTGAAAACGTTGAAATAATTACTGCTTTACTGGACTATTTAAAGGTCATCTCCACGAGTATCGAAGATGGCTCTCTGCTAAAATGAATAGTAAGCACACGGAACAGTCAGCTTACAAGAGCCGGCAAACTGGAATCTTAATTTTACATTGTAGCTTGGAAAAGCTTCTGATAAGAAGGGCTGTTGCGCATCCAGCGTGCAATGGGATTTGAGGAAAAAGACAATAAATACACAGGCAAGAAGATACAACTGTACCTCCGTGAATGGGACGAGCAACACGAAGACCGTTTTTTTCCGTTCAGCCGTGCAAATTATCTGTAGCCACAGGTCAATTGACAGAGCCGTTTTCGGCGTTGCAAATTTTTGATGATGTGTGCTGTGTACAATACATACTGTACCTATATACATGTACAGGTAAAACTGGGTGTAGGTAGGAGAACGGAGAACCTTACACGTTTTTTAGCGAACAACGTCTTAAAACGTCAACCCAACATTGGTGAATTCATAGGCTATTGCCAATTTGCCTTAATTTGTTTTTCTATCAACTGTAACGACAAAATTAATAAGTTTACGAGTAAAGATGTGATCACGAATTGCTTCAGCGAAAGTAATAACGGTAATTAATAAGCATCTCTTTTTAACAGTATTCCCTATGTAGTAAGTACATCGTGCACCGACAACCAAACAGTCTGTTTCAAGATGGTGCATCACGGTAAACGTTAACGACGGCCAACGCGGCTAAACAGTACATTCATGAACATCGCCCACTTTCCAAGTCAAACACGTACCAAATCTAACCGACATACGACAATCAGAATCAGTTACAAATGTAAAAAAATCACCTTGGCGCTGTGAATTCGTTGTGGGAATATTAACTGAGCATTCTGGGTGAAAGCACAAAATTGTAAAGCATTCTCTATCACAATTCACTGGCCTTTTCGGGTTTTCTTGAGACCTTGCCGGCACAACGACGACAATAATTCAGAGATCCGCATCGTCCATTTCCTGCAGCAACAACTGGGCGGCGTCGTCGCGACTGCGCTGCGGCTGGCGGCGGACTACACCCCATAATCCGCGCATACACTCGGGGACACAGTAGAAGAACCAGTACCCAAACAGGCCGATGGTCACCGTGGAGGAGATGATGAAGAGCACCGTCTGCGCCAGCGTCCACGCCGGCAGCTGGAAGGTCCAGGTGGACTCGGGACTGCGCCCGTCAAAGTCGGGAATGTGCGCGGCGTCCGGCTGGGAGGAGGGCGCGGGGTTGTGCAGCACGATGACGTCGTCGGTGGCGGACAGGGAGGGGTCGTGCAGTGTCAGACGGGCATCGTTGCTCACATCCTGAAAATAAAACCATGAGTTCCAATAAGCTAACCAACAGTGTGTAAATGTAGACTGGACACAACGGAAATACTGTAATAAGAAAGCACGGTATACGGCTGTACGCAGTCTACCGTAATTAAATTTCAATTCATTAGCAATACTCGTATGTATAGACGAGCTTCGCTCATAAATTTTATTTTATAAGGAGAGAAAAGACCGAAAAATAGGCTTGATTACCAACTGACCGTGCAAAAACTCAACTGTAAATTGTATTTATGGGCAGAAGTATGTAATGTAGAAGTAATCATACGTGGGAGAAGGCGATACAAGAAAACTATAAGCAAATAAATTTAAAAAAATCAGTTATTCCTACTCTAGAAAATTCAAAAAAACACGAGAAAAATGTCGCCGTATCTCTTAAAAAATTTACCTAATCGTAAACCATTTCTTTTCAATTTCTAAAAACGCGTTTATATAAAATAACAGCTTAACGGATTGCAATTAGGGTCCAACTCACGATTTTTGTAATATTGTTGCCTTTTATATTTTCATAATATTCTTTCATTTTTATACAAACATTCCATCAAATAAATTCCTTAAAATTTCATAATCATTTACGACTCCCGAACAGCACCCGGCTGACTGATAAATGCCTGATTAACGAAATACATACAAGAAGTACAGTAATGGAATTATGGAAGTGCAGACCAGCAGGAGAAACTGGAAATACCTTGAGTACAGCACGCGACACCGTTTCCGCCAGATCGGGCTGGCCAATTTGTCTTAGTCGCTCCACCAACCGCACAAATGATTCCCCGCGACTCTCCACCTGATTCCATTTTTCCAACAGCTCCAGACACGTCCGGTTGGCCTCGGTGTGAGATCCGTCGGGGACGACAGACAGCTGGTACGCGGTGCTGTGCAGTGCTTCGATCAGTTGTCGACATTCGTGATCATTCAGATGGTCAGCGAGAAAGCGCAGCTCCATCTCCCGCACGTCTCGTGTGGCGCGAATAATCAACAGCGCCGTCATGAATAGGATGGTGCTGCATATGAACCCCGTCATGGCGATGAAATGATGATTGTATCGGGAGCAGATGGTCTAGACTCTGGACTCGGATGACAGGTTCCAAAGTGTGGTGAAGCTGCAGTTCTTACAGCATTACAATCAGCTACGCAGCTAGCGTCAGGCTGACATCAGGGATTCCGGAGTGCCATTTCCCCTTTCTGTTCAAGTCGGGATTTCGGAATCAGTGACAATCAGCCAAATAAAATACAAATGCAAATAAATATATAGATATTTGTCTCAAATTACTGTCTTCACATTCTAATTTTAACTAAGCAATACCATCGAAATTGTAAGTACAGTGTTGACTTCTTATGAAGTTCTATAACGATGCACGAAAGAACTTCATAAAATACAGCGCGGCAACGAAATCTGAAAGGAATTAAAATATAAAATACCCCAAAATTTTCGCGAACTTGAAACAGATGAAATCATAACTGGAAAATGGAGCAGACCACCAAGAAAACATTCAAAACAACTACCGTAGGGACGGCGATAGCAGAACAGTGGTTTGTTCATATGAGGCCTACCATGATCTAGTTGCATTTGTTTTGTAGAGAAAAAAATATGGAATATTATAGAAGTACCAAACTAACCTAAAAGCAAAAAATTTGTTTCAAAAATTAATTCGGAGGTGAATATACGCTCCAGCATAGAGCCTACGAGAATGCTCTTTATGCGTGTTTAATTTCGTCAATGAGTCGAGACAAGGAAACCGTTCGTAACTACCGCCTACGTGCGGTTCTCGTTGTGCCTAATGCGACTCCTGATGTGCGGTAGCCGCAATGTCTCGACGATAAATCTGAACCATTTCTGCCATTTTTACTCAAACTTTTTCAGCTTAGGATAATTTGAAATCAAGATAACTGGCTAGACTCTTCCCATTTCCCTTAAAAGCACAACAAATTCCAATGTTTGCATCAGACAGAAGGTTGTTACATAGCGAAGTGCGACAGTATCCAGTGAATCGAAGAACTCTTCAGGCAACACTAGCATCCAGTGCGTAGTGGACATTTTCGTAATTCTGCGAGATCCTGCTGAACAGCTTCTCCATTTTTTTGGCAAATTTTCAAGATTAAGTTATTTGCAACATTCAATGTCAACTCACATGCCACTCACACGCCCTTGTTCAAAAGATATGAGAGCCAGAAAGTGTAAATTGGCTTGATGCGGCGAGGTCTACGACTTTTCTGGCCACCAGTTTAAACGGTCTTCGGCTAAGCCATATACCATTCGATAGAAAAATCAATTCTCTACCCAATTGGTGCACTCACAAAAACCACCAATCAAAAGTGTTGGGGGGAGGGCAACGGAAGCAAGCTGAACCACGGGTATATAGCGTTTTGACGGCTAACAGCTCGGTTTACCGCAGAGTAGAGTGAATATACCAACTGTTATCGCCGTATCTAATTACTTCCGGTACTTATGGTTAATAAAATCCGGTTGCGCAGCCGAATCGAAGTTCGCGTCGACTCAGCGTGATTTTGCGGTTATCCAGTCGTGTTCGATGGAGAGCTTCAAAAATCAATCGCCTGAAAATTAGTTAGTGCAAGAAATTTTCAAAAATTCTTTGGTCAAAAGCTTGCTAGGTTTTCCGCTAGTCCTCTATTCATTTTGAAGTTCATTCATAATTGCATCCACCATGGTGAAGATCTTCGTCGGCCGTGTGCCGAAAACACTATCCCCGGAGCGCCTGAAAGAGATGTTTGAGAAGTACGGTGCCGTAACGGAATGCCAGCCTGTGAAAGATTACGCATTTGTTGTAAGTGCTTGGTGCGGCTGCCGCTGGTACTCAGGAAACTGCGTCGCCTGATCGTTCCTAAATCTGCGTATTTTTGTTTAGCACATGGATTCCGAGACGGCGGCGGATAACGCCATCAAGGCCTACCATAATCTGGAGATCGAAGGTGGAACTCTGACTGTCGAGGTATGCGGTGTAGGCGAAATTCGAAATATTTTATTTCTGTCGTGGTTTCCTAAATGGGTTCTTAAAAGTATAATTAAGTACGGTAAATTTTAAATAATAATTTTCCGGTAATTTTATTACAGTACTGAAAGTCGTAACGAAGTTAATCATAAACTCTGTAAATAAACGAAACTGGAAAAACTATGCCTGCTCAGGCAGGCCCTGCTGTGGTGAATGCAGTCGCAAATGCCGATTGGTTCCCTGTTCGAAATCCGTGCTTTATGGATCATAGTACGAGGAATTCGTACATGCGCCATATTGAATACTGAAATTTTGAAAGCCACCTTGAACTTTGAAGCTGTTTTATTTAAAATTAGTTTTCTCGTTTTTCTGAATAATAATTGTAGCAGGTATTGTAGTTTAATATTTGATTAGCTAAAATTTGATAAGCTTGATTGTAATAAATTTAATTTAAATTACACAAAAAGCTAATGAACAAAAATTCCGTAGAGATCCCACGGTCGCCCAGCCAAATCCAAACAGCGCGACGACCGAGCCCCCTATACACGCGGACCGCCGCCACCGCGACGGGATGATCGTCGTGAGAACGGACGCTCAGGGTATTGCCGCATGTTCTCTCCTGCATATTATTCTATCTAACGAAAAGATAACAATTTGCAGTTACCGTGACCGGTCTCCGATCGATCGGCGCCGCGACGACTACGGACGCGGTGATTACGGCCGCAGCGGCGGCGGCGGTGCGGATCGCAGCTACGGGAGCGGGGGTTCGCGGGGTTACGGTGGCGGGGATGTGGGCACGGTGTATGGGGATCGCGGATACGGTGGGCGCCCCTCGGGCGGGAGCTACGGCGGCGGATACGATTCCCGCGCTCCGGCGTCTTCGTTAGGATCTTCCTACGATTCCTACTCGCGACGGAGTCCGCCCAGGTAAGGTCTTCCCTGAATCGTTGTATCTTTCCTGAATTGCTCAAAGGATGAAGTTGATATTTTTCTAGTAAGACGTCAGTCTGTGAACATTCTTGTCATAGTTACTCTGATGGAACTTTCTATTGTAAATTACGCTTTAATTTTTCTCCGGACTTGTTAAATGATTTTTTGGCTATGTTTTACAGGTCGAATTACGGAAGTGGATCGTACGGTGGGAGCTACGGATCTGCCCCCGCGGCCGGTGGTTACGGTGGTTCCAGCTACGACAACTACGACCGCTATTCCTCGTCCACGTATTCCCGGGATTCCGGACGAGGGTGAGTCATGCAAACGATTTCCTAGCCGCTTTTCGATGATATGTCGATGGACCTGTCGCTTTCTCTTCTGGGCCCGTCTCTCCGCTTGCTCCTCTCCACCGTCTCTCTGTTTAAACGTTGCATAATCTCTCTCTGACTGCATAATATAATCGCGCATTCCTCCGTTTACAGCTACGGTGCCGCTGCTCCGGCCGCAGGTGTTACGCGTCGCTATTAGCCGTTTCGTTCTCATCGATCATCGCCTGAGAAAGCCGTTAAAGCATGTAGCATTTCGCAATCACGGCGCCATCCATGAGACATGTTTCGTTAAAAGCCGTTTAATTTTTCCCCGGCACATGCCGTGCAATGCGTTTATATGAGCGTCGGCCCCGTTGTACAGTTCATGCGTTCTTCCCCTGCGATTTTCCGGGAGATCTGTTTTGCCTGCCAATTTGTCGGTTTTTCGACTGCTGTTTGTGTATCATACCAGTTTTTGTTCGCCCATCGTGAAAGTTGCAACGACGATAAAATGAATAAAATGCGCTATTTTGCTCGCGTGCGCTCGGTTTCCAGCAGTGTTCGTCTGAAGAATCGTTCCAGCGACGGTTGTATCGATTCCGTCTTGTGGAGCGGGTAGGTTGATTGGTGTGTCACATCGTTCGTTTGCTGTAACCGTTGTATTTTTGTCAAACCGTTTTTCGTGAAACATGCGAAGAATACTGCGTGAGCGTCGGCTTTCCCGACCGTTTATGCGGTTCAGCGCAACAGTCCTCGAAACTGCCAATACTGCCATAAAAGTTTTCCGTTGTTTTGTGTCACCGTGTATAACTAGCAGCACTAGTTCCCGTGCGCTGCAGTTCCCAAACCGTGAAACTATCCTGTCGCGTGGAACTGTCGTCTGATCGATGATCGTCCGTGCTTACCGTTCGCTATCGTCGGGACCAATCATCGAGAACTCGCATCCGATAATGTGCGCTGAAAATGTGAATATAGTGATCCGGATTAACGGTAAATTAGAAATTCTGTGCGCTGCTCAGTCGGCTGACTGCGTACAGTTTGGGTTTACATGATAGTTTTTGATGGTTGGCTACGTACGCTAAAATCAGTTGTCCTTTTACTATCGTCGCTGCAGCAGAGTACTTCAGTACTCTCTTCTCATATTAATCTGTTTCTTCTTTTGCAGCGCTGAAATCGGATATGCGTAGACTGGACGAATGCCGAAGGTAATTGCTTGAATAGCATTATAGCCTGTAAGTGAACAACAGTTTTCTTATACTTGTCTGTCTTTGGCCATCTCAAATGTACTGCCTCGCTGTATAATTATGGTTGGGCTTTTGTTAGGTTAGATCTGTGAAGGATTTGGCAACCGGACTGTGGAAGGCGTTTTTGGAGAACCTTTCCTTGCCGCAAAGAAAGGTATGGGCCCGTTAACAGATCACTTTTTGCTTTCATCTCCGAGCTGCTTATTATTGTACATGTTTTGAGATGGTAAATTACTTCCTAGTATATGATAAATCCGTTTTTATATAATTTTTAAAATCAGATAAATAAAGTAAGTAACTGAATTAAAGAAACCAAGGAACTGCAGGCCATTGGTATTTCCTTTTTTGGTTACATACTCCTTTATTTTGTCTTTGTTGGTGTTTTGATATTTATGGATGTTTTTGGTATAGACGATGGAACGTTTTCTGCGTGGCCGCCGATTACCGACGGCAGTGTGATGGAGCTGTGCTTCCGGCGTTGGGAATTTGTTGAAGGTACGTTGTATGGAATAAATGCAGTATCGATAGTACGTATGTAGTTGGGAACTTGTAGCTAATAATGTTTTGTACGTGTAATGTATTCGCGGGGATGAAATTAATTTACACTGGAGCTGAGCCGGTGTGTTGGTGGGCGTGTGCGAGAAGCATGCTTATTGACGCGTCTGGTTAGGCGACGATAGATCATTGTGTCGTAGTGCTGAGCGAAATCACATACCTGCCAAGTTTTGCTTACAATTGTTAGAAATGCTGGATTGTAGCGCAGTATTACATCGTGTTGATTGTTTGCAGATACGGTATCGCTCTGCGGGATGAGCTCCGTGGACTGCTTCCGGTTTCCTTTCGGGCATTAGTTCGCACTTCGCAAATGTTGTTTTGTTTTGCGGCTGTTGTTGCGATTCGCGATAGAAATGCTTTCCGTTTGTTTGATTGTTCCAGTTTTGAGATTGCGTTAGGGAGATCCTAATCGACATTGTGATTAATAATTTGGCTTGATTAAATTAATGTTTTACGTGTATGAAATCGAAAAGATCAGAAACGTGTTTTTGGATACTTATTCGGGCTGGGCTTAAGTGAAGTAGAGCAGAGGATTATCAGTGGTCTTACAATTGGTACAGTACTTGATCGGTGATTGCTTTGGTTGTCACGGTTTCATCGTTTCAAAGAATGCTTATAGTACTTAGTTATCCGAATTAAACACTTGTGCCAAAAATGAGATACTTCAAGTGCTGCTTCTTATGCTGGGTATTTGTTTGTAAGATCGCCTTATTAATTTGTCGTTAGTGTTTGACAGATTTATGATTGCTGTACAATTCCTTTTTTGTCTTGAAAGTTTGAAACCATTAGCTTTTAATAATTAAGTCTGAATCAAAATAGTGACAAGTTTACTGCGAATAACAAAAATTCCCATGAATTATGGAATCACAGAGCAATTGTAATACTTGCGGCACGTACTCAACGTAGAAAAACGTTGCGTGTGAATTGTAACTGTTCGAATGCAGACCAAAGAAACCAATGATAAAATGCTACCAAATCAATGTAATTATGATGGATGCGTTGTTTTAAAAATTGATAAATATTTGATACATATTACATACTTAAAATCTACTTCGGATAACAATAAATCAATAAAAACTGAATAAAATAAGGCAGCACCAAAAAACAGCGCAGAAATACTGTACGAGTACAGTAAGCAAGAGTAGTAGGTACTGTACGTTACAAATTTTAAATACAATACGTACTACATATTATTACGAATATTCAGTACGAGTAGTGGTAGAAGTACATAAAAATGATAAAATTTTAATTTTGTTATAAGTAGTTCATCGTAAAAAAATTATTGCACACTGACGTACAGTAAAAATAGTTTATTTAATTATTGGATACGTATTACATACTTGCTTATAATTATTTAATTATTAATTAAAAATAAGTGAGTACTATACTTGCTTCTTTTAACGAGTTAGTAACTTAGTAGTCAGTTTAGTGTATTGTACGGTACGCAATCAATACTTGGGAGTTGGAAGCACGTATGACCTTATTACTTTAAACGGATTACCAGATTTCACAAGTAACGAGCCTTGCAGATGCTCTTGAAGTCTTCCACTGCAACGATTTATCGATATAAGTCATTTTAAGTACTACTCTACAGTAAGCTATCAATAACTAAAATAATGATAAAAAGTATAACCTGACGAATGTCCGTATTTCATTTTGATAAAGGATAAGAAAGACATGCACAATCTAATTGTTAAATTCGAAAAGCAACGCCATCCTGTGAGATTGTCTGGTTCTCGAGCATCTCGACACCAGTCCCAAAGGTCATCATCACTCCACGCCAAGTATGTCGCTCTTCTGGACCGCATCCAAAACGACAGCTTCCACGGTCAGTCGCGCTTCTCCACCAAGAACCTTCTCCGCAAACACTGTCTGCACCACCATCTCCCGCAGCTGCAAAGGTCACCCGCCGCGCTCCTGGCGCGCCACCTCCTCCACTTTGACATCTTCCAGGAAATCCAGGCCAGTCCCTACGACGCCAAAAGCGCCGGCTGCCACCGAGATCTCGACTACCGCCCCGGCCACTGTCCGTGGTGTCTGGAAGGCATCCTGACCGCCGTGGACACGGAGAACCCCAAGACCCTGCGGGCGGTGCTGCGCTCAGGGTTCTCGGTGGCCACCAAGCTGCAGAGTAGCCCGGAGGATGGGTTTGTGTGTATGGGAAAAGGGGCGTGGAAGGACGGTTTCAACTGGGCCAAGGTGGTGCCCCTGTGGGATATGGATTTCGGATTGTGTGTCTTTGTCAAACTGGCGCTGTTAAGGGATTCGCTGGCCAAACGGGAGATGATGCTGATGGTGGCGCGGGCCGTGTGCGCACGGGGAAACGCCGTCGGGAGGGAATTTCGGTTTGCTGTAATAAAGAATTTGGTGCTCTTCCGCAGGAAGTGTATTGAAGAAGCGCTGGACAAGGCGAAGGCAGGTAAAAAAAGGCGTATCGCCAATTCGCAACCGTACTTTTTTATATATGTAACGACGCTAACCTGTTTATATATCTGCATGTACTGACGCTACCTTGCCTGACTTGCTTTTTACTTTTACTTCGAAGTACATAAAATCTTCCTTTACCGTATTCATTTTCTATAAATTTATTACTGTTTACACAAGTACTTTAAATTATTTAGTTTTTAAATATCGGCAAATTTAACGAAAATGGAATGCGTACCAAAACTCCAAAGTGCATGGAACTGATGGAGGTGACCTTTATAATTATTTTCGATTATTGTTTCACAGGTTGATGGATCGTTATTTTTTCGGGGTTTATCGAGGGCACAAATTACCAGCAAATACAGTTTATCCAACATTCCATCGCCGGATGAATTGATTACACTCTTATTCGACACGATCCCCCTTCCGAAAAAGCAGTACAACCATCTGGCTGAGCGGCTGTGGCGCGTCTTCTTCGATTTACTGTTATCCTGCGCTCCTATGGCAATACAGCTCTTTTTGACCAATCCCCATCTAAACCAGCTGATTAAAACCGGCGCCGCCCTAACCGCCTATTCCGGCTTCCCCAAAGCCATGCTCCTCCCGGGGCCCAGTGTCAGCGTCTCTACCTGGCTCAACACCAGCATTGGCTATTTCTACGTGGCGGAAGCGGTGCTGACGCAGCATGTAACCAAACGCATCTTGCACCGTTTATGTGATCTGCGTCGGTTGGCTGGATTCTCCTACGAGCACTGGACCGCGTATTTATCGTTCTGTATCCGTGCGATACAGGAACACGGGTTTGATCTGCGCCTGAATGACACCCCGCTGGGAATGCAGCAGGTGGCGCTGCTGTCGCGTACCGGGAAATGGTACTATTTAACCGCGATTGTGAAGGAATTGATTAAAATTTCCGGGTATGTGTCGTATGGTCAACAGATCGCGTCGCTCTTCACATTGTCACCGGCACGGATCAGTCTGGATGTCGGCTGTCAGGGCGGCATCCCGGTGATGATTAAGAAACCGTGGAAACGTTACGTGCTGGAATGTGCGGAGGTGCTGCAGTTCCTCCGTATCCTGAACAACGTTCCTGTGGACAAATTAATTCGTATGGTGCAGGACAATGGGAATGCGGGAGAATTCTTGGGACGGTTCGGCAAATACGGGAAATACTTTCAGAAGGTGTTGGCGTACGAGGTGACCTTGCAGGATTTAGCCCGCTGTTCGATCCGCCAGTGTATCGGGTCGGCGCATTTCGTCCGGGATGTTCAGGCGTTGAAGATCCCGGAAAAATTCCAGAGTTTCATCATCGGGGATGTCCTGTCGTTCCGTCGCCCTTGTGCGAAAAGGACGCCAGAGAATGTTCATTCGGTGGGAAATTGGTCTGGGGTGACGGGGCTAGGAGGATCCGGAAAGGTTGAGGGAATGCCGCTGCCGATGGACGATTCGACGATCTGGCTAGATAAGCCACAGCGACCTCCGGGACGGGGTGTGCTGAGCTGGGCGATGAAGGTGTACTCGCCGGAAATGGTCGTGCTGCATGACCTAATGCAGGCCAAAACCTAAGGCCGGTTTACATTATACTCTGCAGTTAACAAAAAAACTGATAGAGGACGATGATGTGATTAGAGAATCTGATGATTTAGATCCCCAACGGGAATCCTGCTGGTTTGTTACCCTAACTGATAATGTTTATGCAAATACGGTACATACATACTACTCAGTAATAAGTAATTAAATATTATTCCGGGCGACTGTAATGGGTACGATTAATTTTGCTTCATTGGCGGAAGATCCTTTATTTTTTAAAGGTGGGAGATTTTAATTCTTCGGGATGTTTTCTTCAGTGCCGGCAGACATTGTTCCTTAATCCTTAATAATTATGCTGGATAACTTGATTCTTTAACGCTGGGAGACTTAACAATGTTTGGGAGACTTTATACTTCGTTGCTGGCAAACCTTATTCTTCATGATCAATGCCGGGAGATAACAATATCGCAATAAGCAATAAAGGTTGTTTTTTACTGTAGATGTATAAAGTATAAACAGGTCATAATCATGTAATGCCATACTGTCATACAACATTTTCTGTAACGAAATCACAAAATTCGGAGTTGCCAGCTGGACGAGGCTGTTTTCCTTGACGTCGACGTATGTACGCATTACATCGCATTTCAGGTGAATCATTCAGTCTTTTGAGTGAATCATCGTTCTTTGGACTGCCCTCGATATGCAGTGCGCGTGGCGAAGATGGCAGAGGCGTTCTCCACCTCCGCCGGAAGTGATGTGTTTGGCTCATGATTTATCATGGTTAACAAGATGTTCAATCAAAAATACTTCTTATGAAAAAATGTTTTTTCATTGTTCAGTTTTTATTCAAGCTGGCACATATGAAATTAAACGAAATACTTCGATTTGCGTTGGGTTGAAGCCGGATCCTGACTAACACCAAAATCCTAGCGGATACGAATGAGCCATAGCTCGGCACGCTGCGCGATGCAGTGTTCACTCTTAATGCGAAATGCCAGCAAATGCTTGGCTTCTGGCTAAAAAGCAGAGCTGCACAACACACGAACATGAGTGATCAAGCGTGAAATTGGTCGTTTTCTAGTTTTCGGATTTTTAGTCATCCTGGATGCTGGTTGTAGAAATATTTTGATATAATAAGATACTTTCTGGATATGTTTCGCAAAAACATCGGATACTGGATGGCTGGATTACTGGGCTGAAAATCTCCGCGCGTGTATCGTTAGCGACCACGTGCGCACTAAATCCGACTTCACTTTTTATTTTTGTTGATTTCTGATCCCATTTTTTGTCTGCTCCTCGTCTGCGTGGATTGCCCGGCATATGCGCTTCCGTACGGAGCTGCTGGTACCGCCGATGCATACGGCGGTGGCTGACGGCCGCCAGATGAGGGATATGGTAAATGTTTGACATGACGCAGAAGGGGAGCGAGGAATTTTCACTTGAGTTCCCCTCGCTATGCAGTTCTTTTCTCGACGTCCTGCAAACTCGACGTTACTTCGATTTTGTGGTGTTGCGGTTGATAGGATGGACGGAGCGTCATCGATATCAAGTGGTCGGAGGAGGCCGGGGTAGGATGCACCCGCAAGTGTCTGTACCGCGGGGATGGCGCGCATTTTACCATGGAGGACGGTGTGGATGAGGATCGCGTTATCAGCTATCGGTGAGCGACTACTTATCACAACGCATCTATGGAGACTATGGAGAGTGCTCTTCAGTGTAAAATTAATTTATGATCATGTATTTTTAAAACTAATACTTGTTTAATAGTTTAATGAATACCGCGTATTTTTTTAAAAGTAACTGCACGGAAAAATCAAAAATAAGATGAGAAAATAAGGGCAAATAACTAGAGTAGAAGATGCTGTATTTGTGTAAATAATTGCTACAAAGAGGGGAAAAATCCGTGATAAATTTCTAAATCGTCCTTCCAGTAAATAATATTGATAATTCTAATTTTGTGGAATTATTTTTTGTGAAATCTGTTGGACTTCGGAATGGTAGCGGTATGGGAAAAAATGAGTAGTGTACTATAATTCATTGTCATCTGTTTTGGTTGGTGTTATTCCTTCTCTTCACCACCTCACCGGATGCCGCACCATTGTCACCCTGTTGCTCACTTTTTGCAATTTTTTTTCATGCTGCACTACGGAATTTTTTACGTATTATTCGTATTGGTTATTCGGGAGGATTAGAATTCCCGGGTTTTGTTTGCATTTTAGAATTTAATTTGTGTGCTCACCGGTCATTCAGGTGCACTTGAATAACTTAACGGTGCCTTTAAATCGTATAAAATGCTGCATCGGCAGGATTACGCAGTCTTGTGCCTGTTTCTCCAGGTGAAACAATATATACAGCCCGTGTGTTACTTGTCCTTGCAGAGTGAACGATATCCACCTGTACAGCATCTTCGACGGACATGACGGATCGAAGGCATCCCAGTTCGCTGCCCAGCAGTTTCCTCTTGAGCTTCTTCTCGGCCAGCTCGAAGGTACTTGTGAAATCTGCTGAGTAAGATTTTTTATTGGTCGACCGCCGCCGTGAATGCGTAGCTGTCGCTGCAGCGCACTCCAGAACAAAGTAATTTGTATGGAAATTATAGCCATACAGTACTTGCGTAAAGTATTCATATATTGGCACGTGCATCTTACTGATAGGCTCACTTTTTGGCGAAACTTTACATAAGAAACTATTGGAAAATGAAGATGAATGTTAGTGATGGAAAGGTGATCTGCAGTCAGTGCAGTGCTGTGGTTAATTCAGAAAGCATGGTTGCATCGTAGAGTTATGGCTAATTTCCCCACGAATGCGTTCAACACGGTTTTCGTAACGAATCTTAAATCTGGCTGCGGAATGAATGTTTTCCGCTTTCTCTTTTTTTTTGTTTCCGCGCTTATATCGTAATGGTCATCGTGATTTTGTTTTGCGGTCATGAAAATTTTAAATCTTTGATTCCCTTTTCCTGGTTAATTGTTCAAATAAAAATTAAATTTTAATTTTTAATCCGTAACTGGATTTTATTTTAATTAAGATTTTTGTTCCGGTGTTGACGAGACGAAATCCAGTAAATTTTCTATGAACGGTACAGTGCATACCATGCCAATCACCGTTTGGCCAGACAAAAACCGGGTTAACAACAGATGATAATCGTTGAATGAAACAGTCTTTTTGGCAGCCAACACACCATTACTAATCCGCGCCGGTCTATTGTCCAACCGATCACGACGACGGTGTCTGCCAAACATGGCAACACTTACCGGCAGATAGGCATGAGTCACAATGAACAAGTGCTGAACACTCTCTGTCCACAGGGCCCATCGACGACGAAGAGGTGCGCAACGTCGTCAGCAATGCCTTCCTAATGGTGGAGGAGAAGTTCTTTGACAGTCTGGAGGAGAGCGCCAGTCCGCCCTACAACGCCACCGGTCCCTTCAGTCCCAAGACGCGGCCGGGCAAGAACGACACGGTGGTGCCGAATCCCATGGCCGGGGGGACGACGGCCGTCATGGCCATCTACTGCCATGGGAAACTGTATTTTGCACATTGTGGTACGTAATCTTGCCCTTACTTTTCCGGACGGGAAGTTAAAAAATTGGTGAAAAATAAATAAAAATTGTTAAAAAATTGTTAAACGTTATGCAAATTGTTAAAAAATAAAATAAAATTGGTAAATAAACGGAGTTTAGGGAGATACAAGGCAGCTTTTAATTAATGCAGCAGTAGTACTTCCTTTTATATGATCAAAACCGGCAAACTGCGCATGCAAATGATGCAGTACAGAAAACACCATATAACTATAAAAAAATAATTTCTGTCAATTTACCCTTTAAATAATTAAATGCATTTTACAATGTTGTTCGTTTACTCAGCAGCTTTGTTGTCACAATTGTGTATGAACCTGTAAAAGTATGTCTTTCACGTATTGCTGATTAATTTCTACTGCAAAGGCAGTTTTCCATCATTGAGAGTTTAATTGTGTGATTTATTGTACCTGTGGTGGGTCATATTTAATCTGTGTATTTCTGATTAATTGCTGTTTGCGAAAGCGCAGGAAAATTAGTCAGAGTTTAATTATGCGAATAATAGTTTTGAATGATTTGTGTCAGTTTAATCTTTATTGGTTCAATTGGCTCCATTACCGTAACAGCAAACTTGTTTTCTTATCTTAGATGACTGTGTTTAGAATTAAATAAGCTGGACTAGTTTTCAGTGCAAAAAAAATTAAAATGTTTTGAAACTTGCAGGCGATACGGTGGCGGTGCTGTGTTACCTAAAGCCGAATGGGGAGCTGACGGCGCGGACCGTGGGAATTCAGCATAACATCGATAGTGACGATGAGGCACTGCGTTTGAGCTTGCTGGGACTGGATGTGAATGAACTGAAACAGCGACAGCCCCTCAAACTGACACGCTGCATCGGCAATTATGCCCTGAAGAAACAGTATCAGACCTTTGACATTTTACGGTATGTTGAGCAATCGCGTTACGGAAGCTCTTGCATCTTTGGTTGTCGTTGGTAACAAAAAAATTTAAGGGTGTGGCTATTCCCACCACCTGACACCACCATTTGGCTATTCTCACCACTTTTCACCGCCTTTTGTCTATTCGCACCACCTTTTTTACAATAATCTTTACACCCCCTTTTGACTGTTACCACCCCCATTGCACACCTCTTGCGAAAATATTACCGGTTTTACTTGTCCCGGCCTCTAAAGGTCATGAATGCATAATGTTATACAAATATCATTTACAATACTCTCATTTTAAAAAAAAGATTTCCGTAGCAACTTTACGCATTTTTTAACATGATAATATTAGTAAAATGTATAAGGAGTTGGGAAGAGTCTCTGTCGAAAGGAGGTGTAAAAATGTGGTGACAATAGCCAAAGGTGGTGCAAAAAATATTTTTAAAAAAGGGGTGCGAATAGCCAGAAGGCGGTGAAAGGTGGTGAGAATAGTCGAAGGAGGTGCCAGGGTGGTGAGAATAGCCATTTCCAAAATTTAAACTGGTTAGGGCTAAAATTGGTTTTATTCTGTTCTTAATTACTTTTGTATTTTTATAACATTTGTACATTTGTATTTTTTATTACATTTATTTTTATTGCGTTTGCTCGTATTGCAGTACGTTTGTATTACAATATTTATTACATTGTATTACAGTAGGTATTTTTATTTAGAAATTATTTTTGTTTTGTTGGACTTATTTTGTTCTGGCGGATGCAACTCGCGTTTTATGATCTAAAACGGAGAAAATAATTTAGTGGCTTTTGATAATTGAAGCGGTTGTCTGAGTAAAATGTGGATAAATTAGAAAATGCTTATCTACCAGTAAATTCTAAACATAAGTTCGGTATTTTTGTAATACTGCATATTAATTTATCAAGAAGAAGACTTTGCTATTTTTACCATACCAGGCTATTGACAGTAACATCAATTCCATTTTCAGACCGGCAGTAAATTCCCCGATAATTTGCGACCCGGAAATTATTGGTGGATTACCGATCAATGCAAATTATCGCGGATTCATTTATCTCATGTCAAGTGGACTGTACAAGTAACTAATTTCTCACTGGATCACTTAGGAATACATGAAGTTAAACCGTGGAATAAATTTTAACAGATCGTGGTATGAATGTTCTGGATCCGAAAATGTTGAGGAGGATATTGCCAAAATGATTGCCACGCAGCTCTGTTCCGACAAATCATTGCACGACGTTGCTCAAGCTGTTCTAGAAGAAGTAAGCCGGGTGGTCTTATACATGTAGTTACTAGTTACGGTGTGCCGACAATTTTTAATCTTCGATGGAAATTTTCCTCTGCTAATGCTGCAGAATTTTTATGTTTGTAATTTTGTATCCCTTCTGTTGTATAATAATCCGAAAGAAGAGAGGATTTTTCTTTTATTAATTCTCTCGAAAATCATCTAAGATTTGTCACTGCTTGGTCTGTACTTCGTTTCCTCTTTACATTACATCAATACATCATAATTATTAGTTTATTCTGTTTGAAAATGCATAATCATGTTTTTGCCAATTTGAAGCTTGCTTTTCCGTTCCTTGTTTCGACTTCATGTTTTTTTTAGGGTTTTCTTAATTTTTTATGTTGTTTCGTACATTGTGCAGCTTATAATTGATTTTCGAATCGGAAATTCACGAGCAAGTTGTTACAAAACGATGCCTAAATAGAGCGTTGAAATATAATATGAAATTAAAACGGCGTTTTAGATTTTATAAAACAAGCGAAAAAATTTTGACAATAATTTCCTGCAGGTTTGCAGCCGGCATGCCGCCGCGTACGCCGCCGGCAAGGACTTTTTCCGTCGCGAGGAGATGACCCTGTTGATCCGCAACTTCGGTCTGGACCGCAGCGACGTACAGCCCAGCACGCCGCCGCCGCGGATTGCCAGTGATCTGGGCTTTCCCTCCGCGGCCCTCTTCAATCCCGGTCTGCGCCGTTCCGCCTCCGAGCAGCTGACAGAGACGGTGGAGACCGACGCCGACAGCCTGTCGCCGCCGATCCTTCGCCCCGCCGAACTGGACGCCGAGGGCTTCGAGTACATTGATCCGTATGTGGATTTTGCCGAGTTGGCGTCGGTGGATACGGATTTCGAGTGGACGGACAGTGATGAATGAACGCAGAATGAATTTCTGTTTGCGAAACGCTGTTTTTCCCGGTGAACTGTGTGGTTTTCTCGAGTGTCTTCCCGGTGTTCTGGTAGAATCTGTCCGGTTTTTTATTGGTCTGATTGTGAGGATGGATTGAATCTGCTTTTTTTGAATCGTCGCGCTGTATCCAGGTTTACGGTTGATAGTTCAGGGATACTGCCGTGTCGATCGGTTTTACGTGTTTTGTGCAGTGTTCCTCGTGTTCTGTGCCATAAAAGTCAGTCATTTAGCTTTTACAGTTGTTACTGCTCGTCCGAATGAAATACCAGAATGGCCAAACCTATACATTGCAGACACCTGCTCACTGCACCCATCGCCGAGCGTAATACGCAATTACGCATGTCAATGGTAAAAAATCATAGCTGCAACTAAACAGTGTGCCCTGTGTACCCTGTGTACAGTGTTCCTCGTGTATAGTGTCGGCACGCTATACTTTACGTGTCGAAAATCGTATGCGGGATTGTTTTAAAGTGTTTGAGAATGGTATACCCCGCCCAATGGTCGTCTGCGGTACGTTGGCGGCGACTTGGCGCACAGTGTACATGCACGATCACCGCACCATCATACTACCCGCTTGGCGCAGTTGGGCTTTGCCCGCCGCCTTCGATATTCGTTCCAGTCGTACAATACATTTACTTGCTATGGTATCACTGCAATCGACTACAGGTACATCCCCAACTGGCAAATGCCCAACTCCATCTTTCGAGGCTCGGGATAGCCTCTGCGAGTTCGACGAAGTCTTAAGATTGTCGCTGGAATCAATCTGTAATGTTCGTTTGGACACAACCGCGTGGCGTCGAGCTTCACTGCCAGTGCGCTGTGGTGGTCTCGGTATCCGACGGGTAGAAGAATTATCTTTGCCGGCTTATTTAGCCTCGATTCACGCTACCCAAGGTCTGGTTTCCCGACTACTGCCGCACCAAGGAGGAGTTAATGTGACAGATCACGTTGCCCTTTGGAGGTACCTCTCCGACGACGCATCGCCTCCGTTGCCAGAAAGCCGAAATTCCCAACGCGCATGGGACACACCATACTGTCTGGCCGAACAGGCAACTCTGCTGCACGAGGCTGTAGATCCCACCACCAAAGCCCGACTACTGGCTTCCGCAACCCCAGAATCAGGCTATTGGACGCACGCACTTCCCTCGTCCTCAATTGGCAACCTCCTAGATGACGAGTCGTTTCGGATCGCCGTCGCAATTAGACTTGGCGCACCAGCGTCATCCGATCACCGGTGCAGGTGCGGAAGTGATGTCACCGCGGATGGCCATCATGGTTTGAGTTGCAAGTTTTCGGCGGGTAGGTTTTCGGCGCACGAGAAAGCAAAAACGATGAATACCTGAACTTTCTTAAAGGTGCATTTCGCGCCGTGCCCTTGGTCAATCATCGAATGAGTTAACCGGATGTAAAAGCGCCGAGTTAGAAAACTCGTGATCCAACTCGTTCCTAAAACAAACACAGTCAACCATGCTTACAGTTGTCACAAACCAACCTTCCGATGGTTTTGGTATGCTGATTAACTTAAAGGGCACCAAGTGTCCTTTTTTTGTTATATATTTAGCTTGCTGTTTACGAAAACATCTACCAAGTAAAAAGAGTTTAGTATTAGTCATTTAATGACCGTTAAGTTTGGTCGCTTATTAATACTGCCTACATGTCAGCGTAATCATCGTACTTCATTTCAGCGGAAGAAATCGGAATAACATCGAGATACGAGTAGATACGAGATGCAGTACTGTACTGTCGCTACTCGTGGACAACATGGATCGCATCAACGTTGCATGCTGTCCAACAATTCTGGATGGTCAGTGAAAAGGTATAATATTGGATCGGCTACTTTTAACGGTGAAGTTTTATCTGATTGGTCCAATCAAATTGGATAATTACCCCTATGGAATTCCATGAACGGGAAGTTCAGGAAACTGCAAAAACCTCTGCCGTTTGGAACAGCGATTCTTTCGGTGCTGCCTGTCCCTCACTGTTTCTTCTGCAGCTGGACATTGCCGGTGAACCGGCAGATGTTTGTTCATATGCGCGGCTGGGGAGGGAGGCGGTTTTTGGGCAACGGATTCGGTACTGGCCGAGTGCCTGTCCGCAGTAGACGCGGTATCTTCCTGCACCATTAAGCTGAAAAAGAGTAAAACCATTAATTTTTAATTTTTCAGCTGTATCAAGCTTGATGGATTGGATTCAGAGGGACGCAGGAATCCGGGTATTGCGACACACGACACGCCCCCTTTCTAGTAGTCTCTCTGTTACAGTTGTACGTGTGTGTGTGAATTGGTATAAATTGGGAAATGTTAAGCGCTACCATGTGTCAGTTGCTTCGTAAAAAATTTTTTACCGGTATTTCGTATACCGACTGCATACCGGTATTTTTTGTGTAGTTGTGTCGTGACCTTTCGCATTTACGCGCCATCATGATTCTAGCGTCTTTTTGCTATCAGCTTGCAGTTGTTTTTGAGGTATAACTATAATAATTCATCATGTCTGCACTGGTTTATGCAAGTGTCGAGTATGTATCTGGTGATTTTGTTGGACCAGCTAGTAAGAAGAAGTTGGATCGCATGAATCGGCAACACGTCAAACGCAGCATTTATTATATGGAAAGAACAACTGCCTGTAACACGAAGATTGATGCGGACTTCCTTCTGGATCCAGCCACGGTAGTTTTGCCAGTATTCTACCTGTTTTGCATCACTCGCTCAGCCTTGTGGACGCGGTTTTATGGCTTATGCCACTTGGCGGAATCCCGTCAAACCTTCAAACACCCACAACGCATTTGTCAAAGTCGTCCAGGAAGTTTTGCCCGCTGCCTCCGCATTTTACCGCACGCACTTGCCGAGATTACCTGCGCAAACCTTGCCGGAGACATCGCCGCGAGACCTGTTTCACCGGAAAGCCGGTGAGCCAGTACCACCTCCAAACATGACCTGGATTATGTTCCTGGAGAGTTACTTCTGTCTGGTTCCTACTTAAAATTTTTCCTGACCCGGATTCATCGTGTTCGCTGACGTGTCCTGTTATCATTGAATTGTTACCGCTATTGCTGCATGACCTGTCTGCCTTTCACATTCCGGATCTTCGACCCTATCGTCGTATTGTGCAACCTTCAGTTGGCCTTTAACCATTGTTTACTTGCGGATTCGTCCTTATTGCATCTGACCTGTGGAATTCCCAGATCTACTGGAAACTTGTTTATCGTTTTGCCTTTAATTCGTTGGAGCAATAGGAATTCCATTGCGCCCTGCTTTATGTACAAATTCCACTTGTGTACGTTCCTATGCGCAGTACTACATCATGTAATTTCGCAAAAGCAGCACTTTACCTTCCAGTTTTGCGCCGTTATCTTACGTTAATCTTCTATAGCACCGTTTTCGTGGTTGCCGTAAATTATCTTATTGTCATTGCCGCAGGATGACAGGAATTCCGTCGTTACCTGCTTTGTGTACGCAACTCTTTGAGTGCGGACATTAATTTTGTGAGTTATCCTGTGCTTGGCGTGATGTCCGCCGGAACAGCACTTAAATTATAAGCATTCAGTCCAAATTCAGTCGTGGATTTAGGTCAGTCTGTGGAATTCCCAGACTAGCTAAGATCGTTCGTCTGCCTTGCATTATTGCCGTCGGATGCGCAGGACTTCCTTGCAACCGGCTTTATTACATTTTTCGTGCAAACTCTTGTACTTCGCTCGGTGGAATAGCGCCCTAAGCCGTACTGATTTGCCATTTCTATGGATCACTTAATTTGCCAATTTTTTCGTGAATGCGCAGGGATGTGCGGAATCCCGCACCTCACTAGCCGCGCTCATGTAACTGTTTCCCTTGAATCAATGGAATCAGTCTTCATAATCGTCGCAACCGATCCTAGGAATGATCGTCATCATCACGCCGCATTGGATCTTCTTTTGTGTCCTTTTCGTGTTTTCGTTTTGGGTTTTTGGGCTTGGGGCCGGTTCCGGCCATGTTCGGCATAACTGCCCAAAGGAAGTAAATTCCGAGCCCACCTTTGGTGTTCTCGCGTGGCGTGTAGGAGCAATGGATTGGATTCAGAGGGACGCAGGAATCCGGGTATTGCGACACACGACACGCCCCCTTTCTAGTAGTCTCTCTGTTACAGTTGTACGTGTGTGTGTGAATTGGTATAAATTGGGAAATGTTAAGCGCTACCATGTGTCAGTTGCTTCGTAAAAATTTTTTTGTTTTTGTTGTCTTTGTGATGGCTTGGGGCCGGTTCCGGCCATGTTCGGCATAACTGCCCAAAGGAAGTAAATTCCGAGCCCACCTTTGGTGTTCTCGCGTGGCGTGTAGGAGCAATTGGTGTCAATTTTACCAATGAGCATTGGCTCACTTCGTCGTAGTCAAAAGAGAACACTTTGATTGTTTTCACTTTACCATTTACATCCAGTGTCTAATTGCATTTTAGTAATTTCTGAGCGGTTTCGCGATGTTTTGGCGAATAAGGGACTATGGGAGTACTTAATTGACATGGTACGGTGAGTCGTGTCGCTTGTGGATTACTGTGCGTGGATTGTTAATAATAGTGGTTTGTCGTTGTTAAAATAACAACGCGAATTAAACAATCCCAAAATGCGGTCTCCTTTTCTTGTTTTTAGTTAAAATACTTTTTATCGACTCTTCTGGATTTTATAAATTATTGTACGTAACTCTTTTTTGTTGTCCTGGGATCAGTTATTGATGGGTTGTACGTTGATGGGTTAATGGGTTACGATTAAATCAGATAAATTTGCCTTATTTTTGATTTTTATTTCGTTTCGTGGTAGACTTTGTACCGTTATTATGCATATACAGTTGTAGATACAGTCATACAGATAGAAGTCTTTTTGTACTCGTATTTTGTATGCCTGGTGTCAGTGTTGTGCAGATGTCGCACTGCTAATACGGTTGTCTGTGTGTTTAAAAAAGCTGCCCGTCGTCACAAATGATCACTCGATTTTTCGAAGTTTTTTGCACTTTTGATACGAGGACTGTCAGCAGGATTTCCTCTCTAACGGTTCTGTCAGAGCGTATTAGGGAACCGTCCGGCTGTTAGTATTCACGTCAGCAAAACTATTCATATGCCAACAAACAAAATGTATTCCACAAACCACCTTTCAAAAAAACCGTACGGTTTTCCTGATACGCTGCGGTAATGCAGTGACCACGAAAATGCCGAAAGTGAGTGGACGTTTCCACATATTAGTCTAAGCGTTCATATTTGCCAGACGCCAGGTCGCGTATTCTATGATTATTCGACCGGCGACAAAGACGATAATATATTTATTATCTGTACTCGGCGGCGTCGGCGCAGCCGTGCACGGTGAAGTGAACAAAAGCCTGATTCATGTTATACATGTATACGTTATAAAGGGTGGCGAAAAACCCTCTGTTTGCAAATTAGATTTCATCACCAGTGCGTAACAGCGTCACCGGTACGCGTGCCAGTGGATTTATAAGCGTTTTTAAACGAGCACAGCAAACTGTATTCTGGAGTTTAGGCAAAGACCGAAGCGATTGTGACCTTTACTCCCGCTGCGTAAAGCAGTACCTACAATTTTGTGGCGATTCGTGGCTTAATGAAACAATTTCTAGAATGGATAGAGTAACAATTCCTTTGCTAGTTTTCATATTCTCTGTGGAATGGGAGTGGCATCAGCTCAGAATCTCAGCGCCAAAATAACGATTTCGTCGATCATACCAGAATATAACGTTACTATTTTCAACATTACTGTCCAGAAATTCCAAGTGGAACTTTAATTTCTCCGATCCCTTCTTTCACAACCAGACTAACAACAGTAAGTACTGCCGTGATGGTGCTTTTTAGCAGCAGTAACCATTATTATATCGGAAATGTTTCGTACCAGAGTGAACTGGGACGCATTTTTTTCTTCGGGACGCATCACGTTAGTTATCTGTAGGCTAAACAAAAACCTTTGTAGATCTGTCCGTTCTTTGCTTCTGGAGTGCAAAGAATGCCGATACCTGCCAGGCGATGAACTACACACTTATATTGGTGACCTTATTCGACCAAAGTGGTGTGCCGTTTAAGAGAATCAACGCTACTACCAATTCCTCTGGAGAATTTTCAGGGCGGTTGCCGAGACGAAGAGGCTACAGTCTTGTCTTCGAAACAGCTGGTTACCATCCAGTCAACGTACGCAATTTTCAACATCAGTTCAATCTGAATCATGAAACGTTCATGGAGCCGCTAATGCTTATCCCTCAGCGTTTCACTGGGTTGGGTAGAGCCAGTGGGCATCTGACACACCTCGATAAGAGCGGTGAGTGCCAGTCATACCAGCATCGAGTTCCGATCGGGTTTATATAACTTCACCGATTTGACAAACGCGACCACCACAACAGACAACGCCGGACACTGGACAATTGAGCTGCCCACCGGGTACTATACCGCTAGTGTATCCGGGCACAACGGAAACGGATCATTTTTCACTATAAGCGTTATTGGTGGACAAACGAAGGTGTACCCTTTTGGAATACTGCATCCGCAAATAAGTAGCAACGAAATTCGGGTCATCATGCGGGACATGCATCCGCACCATGCATATGAATTACATAAAGTGTCCTCTGGCAAATAGCGCTCTCCGCGGTCATGTCGAAGCTCTCTCTCCTGTCAGCGCTGATAGTCTCGTGCATAACGATTTTATTGGAAATAAGGTCGACAGCACAGTGATTAAGAAGCAACTGCCTGGTATCTACGAAGTCAGCGTATATGACAAGATGGACAAGACTAACCTCACCAGTTGGGGCATGGCGGATTCCAGTGCGGCGGTGTACATCTATCGAGGCGAGTCCTTGTGGGGTCAATACTTTGTGCCAACCCGAATGGGAAACACATGGAAAGTAGTTGCGTTTAACGCAATGCAGCTTACGCCCATTAACGAAATGGTATCCGTTGTTCACTAAAAGGACTCTGCACTAACGACTGGCTAAATAGGCTTTTATTTGTAAACGACGTCAGAGTACAAATCAATAAACATTTACAATTTAACCAAACAATGAAAAAAGCTCAATGATCACAACAGAAAAAGTTCAATAAACTTTTCAACTCCATCCATTGTTCCTAAACTGAAGCCGCGTTTCCCCGCTGAATCTCCAAAGACAATCGCTGCCGGAGAAACTCATGGGAGCGAGCCTCTTCGGTTTGATTACATAAACGTTTCCCGATTTCCTTGATAATGGCGGTAGCTGACGGTCCCCATGGGCCCATTGTTTCGAAGGCAATGGCTGCGAAAATGTATTGCCCACACAGATACGAGTACAAAATGGCTTTCCTTTCCTCTGCCTGTACCGCGGCCGATCCGGCAGTCGACGATGTAGACCTTAAATGGGAAGCAGCAACCGTATCGACACAAGTGACATCCCACGCCAAGCACATACCCCTCTGCCATGCAAACGTTGTGCAGCCGTCTGGGCGTCGTTCGCTCGTGTGTGAGGTGCCGCGTGGTTCCAGTTTAGTGGGGAAGCCGGCAGAAACCAGGGCGCGGCGTACAGTGTTATTGAGCCCGCCGTGCCGTGGGTGCCTGCCGGCTGAGAAAGCGCAAGATAGGCTGTGGTGTGCATAACGGTCTACTGGCTTGTGACACTTCCTACACTCACGTGGTTCACAGATAACCGCGCCAAGTCTGAGGCCAACCGAAATTTTCAGCGTGTCGTCGTCGAGTAAATTCCCAATGTGGGCGGAGGGCAGAGCGTTCAGCCAAATGCCTGCTTCCGGCCGTGACTGGGCAAGTAAGCGCGCTTTATTAATCTCATCGTCGCGGTACACATCCAGCAAGGTAGACAAAGATACGTTGCATATCGGTAAATCCCAGGTTTTCTGCAATTTCCGGAAGTTAGCTTCGGGCAGTTCTACTTGACGGGCGTTTAACTTCCACAGGTTTAGAGCACGTATACCGATACCCCCTCTGCTGACCGGGAGACTGGCTTGCCGCCAACTAGGGTAATCATCATGATTGGTTCGGACGTTGCACAGCTGCTGGAAACAGGAGCGTAGCGTTTCGTCTATCTGATACAGTTGCTGCGGATACCTCCACGCGTTGCAACATCTTAGCATGTAAATAATTTTAGGCGCGCCGAGACAGTGTCTCAGGAGGTATAAAGCTTGGTGTCGCGGGAGAAGCTGCATTCCCTCACAAACCGAAAGAAGTGTCGTTGCTTTTTCGGTAAACATCGGGGCGATTGCATCGTCTAATACCGGTGCTCCAAGAAGGCTGGTATATTTCGAATTATACCGCATACGGTATTTGTAGTGTAAGAATTTACATGGGTCTTTTCCATTCAGTTTTTAAGTACGTAAACTGAAAAAAAACGCTTCACCTTCGCGCTTCTTGTGGTCTACAGTCAGAGCCGGCGCAATGAATCGAAACATTCACAAATCTTGGCGATTCAATAATATGATAACGTTCGTTTTACTGCGTAACTTTTGCTACTGCACACTGCACAGGTAGCTCCAACTGTTTAATAGTGGAGACAGCCTCCTCGTGTTGATCTGGTACTTGATCTGATACTTTTACACCAATAGCGCTTCCAACAAAAAATGCTGACCCAGAAATAAAATATACATTAGGAAAATGAAACATTAGGAATCATCAGGAAAACATTAGGAAAACGAAAACTGTACATACAGCATACTAGCCAGATCTGATACATTACACTGGCCGCAAAACATCAATGTAAAATCTCAGTTCGTGTGCAGCACGCAGGATGTGTTATATCCCGTGTAATTCGAAGGACACCAGTCTAGATCCAAGGAATGAACAGTTTCATTGTGTGAGCCGCGTAAAAGCGCCACCAAATTGCATGCATTAGAACTTAAAGTGCAGACAACGTCCGAGGCGAGGGATAATATGGTGAGCTCCATAATCAGCTGCGTGGTGTGTTTGGTCCAGTAGGCCCTGTTTAGCCGCGGGACACCGTGCTTTACTTGCTTTAAAGGATCCACAAACAGCTGCATTGGATTAAATCCGTGCAGCTGCGTCAAGTCCACAATCGTGTACACCGCACAAGCATCCCTCCGCAAAAGCGTACGCAGCAAATCACAAGCAGATTCGTCATCCGTCATCACAAACACGGCACATCGTGGATACGCTTTCGTTACAACGAGCTTGCGGATTGCGTCAGCAAACCGTTCAATGGGAATATCCGCCATTTCCTTGTTGGTAATTTTGTCCGTGCGGCGCATGTGCACTCCGACAAATCCTTGGGATAGCACACTCGATAGCAGCACTTTAATAAATTCACGAAATTGCGGCTTCAACTGCCACACCGATTTGGTCAGCAGGGATTTGGTGCGGAAGGAACCCTGAAAGTCTTCTCGATACAATTCGCTTAAAACGATGCGCATGGCGTTGAATTCATTGGACGGATTCAACGGAGCGGCATCCACATCGCGGCTGACCTTTACGGTGTTACTGGCGTACGTTACATTGTAAGTGCCCGCGTTTTTCAGCAAGCGCTCAGCTTGTTCTTTGGACAATTCAGCAAATAAAGGGCACGGAGTGAAACCGGCAAAATCGTCGAAAAATGTGCTCAGTTTTTCGTACGGCCATTCGTGATGCACAATCTGGTAGCGTCGCCCCGTCAACTCCGCGATGTGAAATGCTCCTAATCCATTGCTCAAGATGGAACCGAATCCCAGTCCGGGGCTATGTCCGAGAAAGGCACCGAAAAGTAGCCGGCTAGGGTGACAGTTATCTCTGTATGTCATCATAAAACGCTTAACCTGAAAGCAGGCAGATAGAAGTAAATTTCTTCATTTGATTAGAATAACTCTAATATATAGTACTTGCTCGATGCAAACTTAATAATGTAAGCATTACGCGGCGCGGAATGCACCGGTCACGAAAAAAAGAGCGAGTTAAAAGTATATGGCGCGTGAGCCAGTTACGTGATTCGTGAATAAAAATTATTCTAGGATGAGGTATCAATTTACTTGCTCCGTGCCCGTGTAAGCGTTGCGCTTCGACGTCAAAGCGCAGCTTTACTTATGCCAGCTCCACTTCTGTACAGATCAACAAAGCTGTGATTTTACAATTAACCTATTAACCGGATACCATATTTATGCATTTCAAGTGGTCTTTTCAGTCCACTGCGATGGCTAGTTCCTTAAAGGACACTCGAGGTGTACTGTCTAAACCATTTGCTTGTTACGCTAACCCTTATAGTTTTTCCGCTACTCGTTCGTTGTTACTGCAAGTGGAGGCAGAATGGAGACAACAGTGCCGCAACGCAGAGCAGCTGAACTCTCAAGTCCCAATAAAGTGTTACAAAATAGATACAAATACAGTAGTTGGTTAGGCACTCAGAATCCGGCAATGTAATGCAGTTTTGCGGGTCATGTTTATGAATTAAGCTTTACCGAATTACTACAGTAAGAGTACGGAATTCAGCTTTACCGAATCTGATAGGAAAGTTCTGCGAAATTGTTCGTCAAACGCATCGGCATACGAATCCCATGCTTCCTCCAAGACGACTGCACAGATGAGATTGAAATCCGTCACATGGAACCATCGAAGAGCAACACTGGATCGAGGCAGTTGTTGTGGCGTTACCTTAATAATCTGATTGCCGCAAGAAGTCATGCAAGGTTTGTCGCAGTGAATACTCTGCAAATGCGATTCAGGTTGTTGGTAGGAGGGCAAGAAATAATAGATCGTCGCCAAGATAAATATGACTGCCAGAAAAAGCAACAAAGGATGGCGAATTCTCGGGACGAACATTTGCAGACTGCGATCGATACAGTATCCACACTGTCGTAAATAACTAGTTACTTCGTATGTTGCAACTTCCACTCCAAACGAAAAAATTAAAAAGTAACACCGTAATGCCTTTAGAAAAGCATCACAGCTGTCAACTGCACTGTACAACTGCATATAGCAGTAGTCAGTCGATAAATTTTAACTTGCGTCACGGTCACAATTTTAAAACTTCAAAGTTCTGAAGTTGACAACGAACTGCGCACATGCGCTACCCAAGCGACTACTTCGCTCCTCGTATTGTATCTTACTGTAAAACGCTACGCGATGTACACTGTACCGATAACGCCACATTTTCCGTTTGAAATTGATCCCGGCCAAAGCGTTCATTGGCATAAAACCATAAAACCATATTGAGAACTGTTATCATTCAACTGCCGCAAACAACATCAAGTGGAGCTTTATTTGCCTACGAACTACGGTTGAACTTGAGATTAAGCTGCACGAGTTAAATGGAATGTAGTCTCAATTGGGCTATGACTACCGTAGCGATTAAGAAAAAGTTTTCGGTAAATTAATATTTACCGGTAGTGCCAGTATTTCGGGCCAGTAATTTCAAAACTTCCATAAGTACATTTCAACCAAAAGAAAACATTTTCAAAATTCCAATTGCCTTTTTGAACTGGTCTTGATTTATTTCGTGCGTTTAATAACTGCAGTCTCCTGGACAAAATTGTGCTCTATAGTAAGTACTCTTTAAATCCGGACTCTACATAGACAGCCACTAGTCTACGATAGTCATATCGATGTTGATGCAGTATCCGTAAGTGGGAAAAAATTGCTGAACTGATTATGCAATGGCGAAAACGTGTAACAGTACAGAAGGGCGTAAGGATCCAGTTATTGAAATCGATGGTGTCAGAAAACAATTTACATCACCGATAAATCGACAGCGATTAAGAAAAAGTTTTCGGTAGACTAATATTTACCGGTAGTGCCAGTATTTCGAGCCGTGGATGTAATGGCACAAGAAACTGCGACCGTCTCCACACACCACATGATCAGTTTTTGCAAACTACTCGTAGCTCTTTAGTTTACTATGTAAATTAATTACTTAGGGCTATTGAAATGTGCAAATGTTAACCGATTTGTATTCAGGTAGCAAAGAATAAAAATATGTGTGCCTACCACATTCGCGTTTTTCTAGAGCTGCCGGTGTCATCTAAATAGTTCACAGTTTAGAACATACTTACATACACACAGTCCTTTCCTTGACGCTCACAGGTAGCAGGTTAGCAGCTGACTAAAAAAACATACTTGTACATAGTTCTACAATGTAGTACACGAAATTCCATAGGTTTTTTGAATTATGAAACTACTCACATTTCGTCATACGTTGCTACGAGACGAGAATTAATGGCGCGCATAGTAAGTAAACAGTAGATACTATTCTAGCAAAAGTGTGTAAACTGTCGATTAAGCGGTAGGGCAGTTGCAGCAGTCGGAAGCCGGGTTCAAGTGGCGCTTGCAGATCATCGTATGAAATTAAAAAAAGTGAAGTAAAATAAAAGCATTGCTCACGATCTCATGATGAAGTGGCAGGAAATAAGCTTTCTCAATGCCCAACTGCGTCGCGCCCAAACCGAGATTGCTCTCTATTCTCGAAACCCGTAGCCGCGTGAGCATTCTCCGCACTGTTACCAGCGCAAACAAACAAATCTGTCGCCTACCGTCCAAATCTGTTTTCTCATTTTTCTCCAACCGGCCATCACCGATATGACAGAAACAGAAGACGTTAGTTATTAGCGCAACATTTTTTGAACGACCAGTATGTGGTGGATAGGTGTATATGTCGTTGATATCGGTGTATCAATAGGGGCGCTCGAGACGCACTGTAAAAGTGTTCTGTAACTTACAGAGCGTTTTTGTTTAGCTTGTGTTTTGTGACTGCGCGCTAAAGTATGGATGTTCTGTATCTTAAAAGAACCCAGAGGGTTCCTTTAACTACAGAACACTTTAAACTTCGAATCTGGTGGCTGGTTTCTATAAACCAAAATCTCACTTTAACTTACAGAGCACTTTATCGTGTGTTTCGAGTGGTACTAACGACGCTAACTAAGTTCTTACATGAACCACATATAAATTATTATGTGGTCCTTGAGTCCTGGCATGGACCACATAAAATAACAAATGCCATTCATTATCGTTTTATCACTAATATCGATGGCCTGTCGTGAATGGATAAGTATCATGCTGTTAAAAACGCCATGGACACATGAATGACCTTTGCTACACTTCATTCGAAGATTTCGGTCGGCTTAAATTGTCTTCGCACTGTCTGCTTTCCGCCAACATACGAGCAGCGGACAAGAAAACATTCCGTTTCTTTGCAAATGCTGGCAATCAAGTGGCAGCTACAGATTACTGTACGACGGAGAATGTATACGTCTGCAGAATGATGCAGTGAGCCAAAAACCAAACCGAACGGGTACGGTGGCATAACACATGACAGAGCGTTCAGTCTTCGATAGGTTACTTCCCAGCTAAGTGCTTTCTCTTTCCTGTATTAGGTCAGTCAATAGCCTATTTCAGATTGCATACGGTAGAGGCTCCGTACATAGAATCGCACGGCGTCAGATAAGCAGTACAGTACGTTGGCAGGATGAAAACTGCTTCAGATCTTTGTGCGGTTAGAATTTGGTCACGTACAGCAACGAAAAAATTAATCGAGTCGAGTGCGCGCGAGGACGTGACCACCCTGCTAACGGTCGGCGGTCTGAGTGCTCAAAAAAGATCCACGGGCAGCATACGCTGGCCTGCCATTCACTCATGTGTCTGAGCCGTTGCAAGCATCCGCGTAAGGCAGACAGTTTTTACGCGTCACCGCACGACGCTAGGTTACAGCTGCTAACGTCGCGAACGGACGTAAAACAACCCGGAACGGAAGGTTCCACATGGAACCGGAGCCGAAACTAACAAAACCGTGCAATCTGAAATAGGCTAATAATATCACACCGTCCGCTCGCTTGCCGTCACTTTGGTGAGCTCCCGTCTTATTCCCAATCCAGCCGCCGCAAAGGAGCGCTTAAAAACAGCGGAGAGCGATTCGTATGTGCATGCCCGTTTCCGTTCTGTGCTGAACTTACAGCTCGAGCCGTAATAGCCACTAGCCAGGGTCATCCGCTCAAATACGAATATCGCTACACATAATTATATCGTATACACTGGTGCGGTGTTCGTATTGGTACTTACTTCTAACCGTAAGCGCAGCGCCACAGCGTCTCCCAGGTTGGCAGGTTCCAGCCGATCAGAAGGTTGTTGTGCCCCTACCCGTGTCCATTCATTTCGGCCACCAGAGATTTCGTGCAGACAGCCAATAGCCGGAGATATCGGTGGTGAAGGGTTCTTGTGGAATATTGTAAATACACCTTTACCGGTTTATGATCGCAGAAACTTCTCTTTTAAATAAAGTCATAACCTGGCTGCCACATGACTGTAGCTGACATGTTAATTTGGAAAGGGGGAAAGCAATCAAAGCATGTTGTATCTTTCTATATTAAATTGATAGCATACACATCAGTTTTGATACTCCACCGAATATGAATTAAAATACTTGCATTCTCGTATAATGGTGCTAATTACAAAAATTGCTAGCTTCGAAGTACAACGTATGTACTTATGTATATTTAATTGTAAGACGTAATTACATTAGCATTTAAATTCGTTGCAAAGAAATATAACAGTGAAAAACAAATATAACATTGAACTGTGCAATTTACTAACCAAAATATTCACTGCTATGTAGTGTATTGTATTGTACTATTTAGTTCTCATGGTCACGAGTCAATCAGCTTCTCGTATTTTTGCTTTACTATTTACTTTTCTGTTTTACGGTTGACTTATTCTTTAAAAAAGGCCTATTATATTAAGTAAGGTTTTCTTTTTACTTTTTCTTTAAACCTGCAAAAACACCGGTAAAGCAAGTACTGCACAATCAGTACTTCATGTTGCAGCGGAAAAATCACACAGGGAAATGGAATTGGTGTCACTGGAAATGGAATGCTGCCACTTACAGTGGGATTGACCGCACGGCTATCGTCACTCGTGTATGTAGACGTGTTTCCAGTTGTAGACTTGAAATTTTCAGTGATCATCTTTTTCAGAATTAATAATTGGTTGTATATTTGTGGCCTGTGGACGTTTTGCTCATGGTGGTGATATCGATATTGCTGACGCCTGGCCCATCCTTTAACAGTGTTATGTTGAAATCCCTGTATTATCTCCAGCTGTCCATGGGTATTTTCAGTCCCCTGCGCTCCGCCGTACTGCTGCTGCTGTGGCAGCTGCTACATCTCCTCATCTCCGCGTACACCTTCACGGTGTCCATCATCTGGCGCTGGCGGCACGCCCGCCACACCATCCACCCCGCTGACTACGCCGACACGGCGCGCCGCGACCGCCAGTGCCTGTCCAAGATCCCCGTGCATCTGGGCATCGTCTTCGCCGCGACGCCGTCGCGCTTTCCCCTGGAGAACCTCCTGGAGCTCGTCACGTGGTCCGCCGCCTTTGGCGTGGCCTACGTCAGTGTGTATGATGCACAGGGTACGGCTGCGTGATAGTTTTGCTGCAGGGGGGCGGTAGTTGATGTTGCGGGGTGTTGCAGGGGTGTGGATGAGTCGGGTGAGGGAAGTGCGAAGCAGACTGATGCAGGAGGTTCCCGCGTCGCAGTTTCTCCTGCGGGATGGGGTACGGAAGAACGGTGTTAAGAAGCCTGTCGCCGTGGACGAAAAGATGATTAATTTTAACGGTAAGTCATTTATTCTGCATGGACTTTGTGGTTTTACGCGGAATTGGGGGTTTCAGCGTGATGACGTGGAAGCTCCATCGTCATTAAAAACTATTATACTGTACAGTATTACACTATTACTGCATAATAAATTGAGCTTTATGATGTAAAATATTCCTTTTTTTCTCCACATTTTAGGCTTTATTTCTTTCCGTGTGAAAAATTTTGTTTTCCAATATTTTTGTTTATTTTAAAAATTTATGATATGGTAAGTTGCACTGACGAAGAAATTTGCTATTTAGTATTTTTGTATATTAAATAATTTTGTGTGCTATGATTTTAAGTTTTGGTGGATGCTGCATTTAGATTTGGTTTCCTTGCAGTTCAAAAAGCTTGTCTAATATTTTTTATTTTTAAGCATGTTTGTATTTGGATACGAGTTAATGTTAGTTTTGCTGATAATGTTTATTTGCTGTTTTCGGTGAGTTACGAATATTTATAATTTTTTATGTTTTGATTTTGAAGGAATACTGGAGCAGTGTGGCTTTGATTGCTTATTGCAGGTGTCAATGTGATATTTCTGTCGGAGTCGGATGGGAAATCGAATATTGCCAAATGTGCCGAGGATGTCTGTCGGGATGTGCTAAATGGAACGCTATCCACCGAGGACATTGATCAGAATGTACTTCAGTCGTACATTTCAGGTACGGTACTCACTTGGTCAACCTGGATATTGGTTTTAATTTCTGCGCTGCCTATTTCGCATACATGTTTGCATCTTTTAGCGCGTTTTAAGTATTATTTTTCGCATCTCTATACGTTGGCTATGTGCATTTCAGCCCACGGATAAACAGACTTGACGCTTTTATTTTTTTAAAATGTGTTTGCGCGTGGTTTTGTTTTTCGTGCAGTGTACTGCCAAGATTTGTCTGCAGTTTGGCTTTTAATCTTTCAGTCTGCAACAGAAAGCACCAAAGTTGAATAAACTTTTGCGTTGTAGATAAGCAGCCTTTTCCGGATCCGGAATTAATATTGAAAATCGGGCGGACCAACAGTCTTGCTGGATACTTGCCTTGGCACGTGCGATTAAGTGAAATTATGTAAGTCGTCGTAACATTTTATAATGTACCCTGTAAACCGTATAATTTAGCGTTTTTTTAGTTGTATGTTTGAAATTTGCTGATTGTTCTTTGATTTCCTCCTCCCGTTTCTGTATTTAATTTTTGATATTGACACCAGACGTTTCAATAATTGTTTTGTGTTTTCCAATGTTTTTTTTTATTTCTTGAATATTTACTGTGCAATTATCGTTCAGGGTACAGTGTATGTTAAGAATTTTTTCGTTGTTAATTCTGTTCGTGTTAGTGGTTGTCGAGCGCTGTTATTGCTTTCGATAATATTATTAAATAATATTACTAATTTAACAATATTAACAAATTTTGTTAATAAATTCAATTAAAATAATTATAACAAATTTTTTAATGAATTCCGTTGTTTATATTCTGCAGATATTGTCCACGATGGGACTCTGTGTCTTTCCAAGAATTCCGCTGGGCCCTGTACCGGTACTCGCGGGTCGAGCAGCGGATCGGGCGGTAAAACAATGCACACTGGTGGTTTTCTCTGTTTGCGGTTGTTGCCGGTTTAATTCCGTTTAAAATTGATTACTAGTTAATTTAATTGATTTTATTCCACGTTTGACTTGTCTTGACAGTTGACTGTGTTGCAGTCGCCAGTGAAGGGTGTTTTGTACAGCAGAATGTTTAGCGTGTTGGACAAATAATACATATGTGGTAAAATAAAATGTTTGGGCGTGTTTCTTTATCACAAACGAAACTGCGCTGTCTTCCGGTTAATTTGTACATTCGTCGTCTCATGGCCATTTTTGTTCTTAATCGCATTTCCACAGATAATTTATTAACAATGTAATCAGAAAACCACACTATAATTACTGAAAACTGAATTATTATACTCGTAATTCGAAATTTGTGAGGTGCATAGTTAATAGTTATACGATTAACAGTTATAGGCTAATAACAATAACAAACTGACAATAGGCCAATAATAATTACATATTATCGAATTCGCTTATGATATTGGTCTTTAGATGACGTATCTGTAGTCGCGATTTGCTACGTATGAAGACGGAATGACATACAGGTTCATTGCACACAACAAAACTGTTCTTTGTTTTTCTCCGGAGATACAACAAGTGTGCAATAAAGTGAAATTAATTTCGCAGTACAGATACATGGTGAATATGCGCTAGGGTAGAGGCTATAAGAGCGTTAAAACACTACTTCGTTAAATTCAAGAGTACGTCTTTTACAGTGTGCGGCTCGGTGCAGGTGAAAAAATGGGAATTCCAAGGTGTAGCATCGAACTAAATCCGGACATGTAGTGTTAAAGTTTCGTCTAGCTTTGTGGCAAGGAATAACTCTTTGATCTTCTCTTCCCTTGCATTAATTGTACGCACTCTTTTCACCACTTCCGGAGGCAACACCGTCGTCGCTCGCTCTCGGGTTGACAATGCCAATCATCCCCATGCCCGCTTTATATAAAACACGTGAGGTATTCCAAAAGTGCTTTTGTTGCAATATTCTGCTTTAAAATCGCCGGCTTTTTACAGAAATGGGATATTATTCAGCATATTGGACTGCAGAGACATCCCGGCTCTGCAGAAATTATGTTGCAGGCAGAACAACTACAAAAATTTGGGTGATATAGGAAACGCACCGAGTATTCTGAATTGGTTATTCATGGAGAATACAATTTGGAATATCCTTCATACGAGTAAGTATACTTTATATAATTTGGTCTATAGTCTGTACATGCCTATTTCATTGTCAGTAAGTAAGTATTACGGTAGTACTCATTAACATTGTGACAATGTGAGTATGTATATCGCTTTGCTCTGTATTCCGACTATTCCGCAATTTACGGCAACACCGCAATTAATCCCAGCAGAAAAACAATTGATACGAGGACGAGCTTAGTACATGTGATAGACAAAAAAACTAGGGTAGCGAGAGAATCTGATAACCATTTGCGTGCTGTGCAACACTGTCAGCCACCTTAGGCTGGCGGTAGCCGCGCGCCGTCACGCACCCGTTAGCTGAACACGGCCTGCTATTTACTGTAACGCACACTCGTATTAAAATTTAAATGCGAATTTTGTTTTGGTTTTATAACTTTGTTTCTCCGCAGAATTTCCAGTAACCAGTGACTGACATTAATTAACCAAGCTCTTGATAATAATGTTATAAAATTACCATCTAAATATAAAGATTCATCTGGCGAGATGTACTACGATGAGAATATCACCGACGTACGGCTACCTGCCAGTTTGTTTTCTGCACCTGCGATGGAGATTTCTTGCGCGAGTATCAGCGTTGTTTCGGGCCTACCGTTGAGTGAGAATTGTGTGGAGGAACCTGCCAGCGACGTGCCTTTACCAGCAGCGTACGATGATCGTATGGCCTTGGCGCTGAAGGCTTGTAGAACGGGGAACCTGTCACAGTACGCTGCAGCGAAAAAGTACAAGGTTCCTTACTCTTCGTTCTGGAATAAACTGAAGGGCGTGCGTACGAAAAGAAAGGCGCACATATGAGAAAAATAAGCGAAAAAGAAACACTCGTACCGGACTTAGCGATGTGACAAATACTCTGACTAAAATTAAAAAATCTTTCAGAATGGGTAAAAAGTGAGTCCTCTGAAATTTCACATGTGGTTCTACAAAGTCAAAGTTTTACTGTACGAAATAAAGTGTGCGGTATTACTGGGGTGATTATTTGTATTAAAACACTTCGTGGCATTTCCTCGCGGAAATAGTTCCGTTGGCTGTGGTATATATCGAGAATACATGAGACTTTCTATTGTCTATATACGGCTTGTTTCTGAACGGCGTACGGGAGTCTGTAACCAAATTGTGACACGCTCCTGACTGCAACAATTTTGGAGGGTGGTTATTACTATACAACGTTCGACGAGAGCATACCATTTACAGAGCAGTAATTCATTGTCGATTTTCTTTGCCATACTGCTGGGAAAGTTTTGCCAGCTGTCTAGCAGCAACGTAGCTGAAGTACGCGTGCGGTGGCTCATGCAGCACGCCGCTGGAATGAAGATCTTCAAGAATTCGTAACTTTGTTAATTTTCGTGTTAAATTCTTTTGTATAAGCTTAAAAGATACAAAATAACGCATACCATTAGGCAGAACAAATGATTTTTCGTTTTCATTTTTGGTTATTCATTGTGAGCCTTTGTTGTTAACACACCTGTCTATAGAAGATTCATTCTAGATTAATCATAGGCGACTATGCTAAGCACGTATGCTCACAGTGCCAAACCTTGAGACAAAACCAGAAAATCGGTTATTCTGCCTAATAGTATGCATTATTTTATATTTTTTAAGCGCATACAAAAAACATTTTGCACGGCAAATAACAAAGTTACGAATTTTCAAAGATTTTCATTCCAGCAGCGTGCTGCTGGAATGAGAACGCGCTCATTCTAGCACCCATTTCATCTCTGAAATTAGCCTCTTAGGTGTGTGTGGATTGAACCAAAATTGAAAAAAATTATTATTATGGAAAAAGCCGTTAACAGCCGCATTGTAACTGATGCAACCGCAAAAAGGCGACGGTTTAATGCAGTTTTTGACGGCTGGTTGTTTGCTTTGGACTTGCAAGATAACTCCAATTCTTGCGTCTCAATCGGTTATTGTTTAAACCAAACCAACTTCAAAAATTTAGGACAAGCTGCCTTCTGTGACACTTTTTGTCGCTGTTAAGAAATTTCAGTACATGCGGAAACACGCTTATGAAACATTATTTCACTTTGCGTAAGTGATAAGAATGCAAAATCGATTTTGTACGTTTTACTCCATAGCCGCCGCCTGAAGTTTCTCTGGTGCTCGGGAACCGGCAATTAGAATTTTGCTTTGACCGGTTTCAAATTAAAAGGCATATTCTAAATTGGAAAATTTGCTGAATTTCTGATCCTGTATCTTTGTGCAAGTATATAAGGCTTTTGCGGTAAATGTAATTGCTAATATCCTTATAAAGTCCAAGCTTGGGAGATTCAGCAAAATTGAATGAGTCGATAGCACTCAAACTTAGCGTTCAAGTCGATAGTGTGGAACACAACCAGCGGTCAGCGGCTTACTTAAGTAACTTAACCAGCAACTGTGGATGGTTGCACAGTTACACTGCCAGCAATGCTAAACTATTCTCTTATAATGGTATCAACCGTTCGAAAACAAGCCGTATATACTATAACGTTTACAGTATCATTACGTTTACAAAGTATGCCTGTAAAGGACAGTGAACACTGGATGAAGATGCTGACCTCAAACCACCATCTTGCTGTAGAGACAGGACGATGGAGTGGAGTACCACGGGAGGAGCTAGTGTGCACCTTCTGCGAAGTTGTGGAGGATGAGCAGCATGCCCTGAACGAGTGTCCAGCATATTTCCTACATAGAGAAAAACTGAAGGAGCGTCTTATTTCCTTGGGCATTACAGTACCGGATGGTGGATTGCTGGAAATCATACAGGGCATATTACGGAGGAAAGATATGCCGACGGAGAACGAGAAAATGTTGTTTTTTTATATTAGCAATTTTCTTAACCAGATCTTGAAGGATAGTCGCAAAGCATATGGCGAGGAGATTTTGTTGTTACCTCCATAATTTTAATACATGTGCGAACGCATTCAAATGTGAACTACAACCTTCTTCTGAACAACGTTTAAAATAACTATTTAAATCTAATTTTTTCTTTTTTATTACCACTATTGTCTGTTGTCATACTCTTGTAAAGATTTGTTCTGTATTGTATCTAATGTTTAAGTATATATGGCACAACGCATGGTGTGCCCCTGCCAGAAGAAATCTGGGGGAATAAAGTTGTTGTTGTTGTTATGTATGCATAACTCACTGCATTCTGCAGGGTTTTGCCCTCCGGAAAATACTAAACTACTCCCCTAAAATGGGCAAATCAACGGCGTGTAACATTTTGGTCACAAATCTCCATAGACAAACATAAAACAAGCCGTTAACACTACTCCTATGCGAAGACTAGTCTTCCTCTTTTCATAGTGTTAAGTCTGCATCTGTGTGCAGCCAACGGAAAATGTGATGTGTTTACCAGCACTGACAAACCTGGGTGGTTGCCCGTGTTGCACGGGCCGGGCATGGTTATCAGATGGATTATCTGGTTTAACGCGTTGGGGCGTGGCTAAAGGCTGGGGCGTGGCTAAAGTGTGAGTTAATAATGAATATGCATATAATATAAAATTAATAAAAGCATATCTTACGCACAGAATTAACCGAGTTAGTGAAAGTCCGTATGGCGAACCTACATATATCCGTACATTTACTACCTTCTGGACATATATAAGCTCACTTCCCGGCAGAAAGGTCACTGGGGTGGGTAGCATCTGGGAAATGAATGGGGTTGTTTTGTGCACCCCGTTAAAGCCGGGCTGTGCGCTACACACTACACAGACCGAAAGAAAGCGCACGCTTAAGTGATTTGCCAGTGCGCGCCGCAAATGCCGGAAATTTGAACCTTCTCTGACAATGCAGTCATCCTCCGTCGCACCCAGGTACAGGCCCGCTGCAGTGTGTGCACGGAGTGACGCACACATCACCGGCGTTCCGTCGATGGATTTTAGCGCAAGCATGCGGTGTGCACATGTGTGTAGACAACACATAAACCTGCTGGCTCCTCGAGCGGGTTGTTGCCGGTAGTATACGAATGGGTATATACCCGACAGTGCTTAATATTATACAACCAAACCTACAGCGTGTATCGTCCCACCGCCGCGCAGGAGAAAATTTGCACAGAGAGCAATTGTTTGCCCAGCACTATCAGCATTGGACTGTGGATTACGGTGCCGGCTATTGTCAATAATACCCAACAGTGTTCCCCTCTGTATCGTGTATATCTATATACGGTGTACCTGTACCTCCGTATCGCGCGGTATTCGCGTAAATGTTCTGCTTTTAACCAGCCACTGCAGGTGGAGAAAATGCTGATTATACAGTGGTAGTGATAAAAACCCGCCGTGTATGGTCGCGGCGATTTGATAAGGATGAAATATATTTGATTCAGGGCAAAATGTTAGCGCGGATAATATGGATTGTGAGTGGACCCGGTGTGACTCTTTATACATAATACCGCTATTGCCGGTTATCACGAGGTTGTATGGTAATTTTCTCGCTTTCTCGTCCCGATCGCTTATACGTCGCGCCGGAATGTGGATCAGCCGAAAGCTGTGCGGATTAATTATGATATCATTTTAAATTTCGTGGATCTTCGTAATTTTGTCCTAAAGCGTTTCCGACGGGATTATTGCGTAATTGTTCAAGATAATTGTTCCAGTCGCTGTCGCGGAGGTTCGTTATACTGCTGCTTCAGTAAAATTGTACCGAAAAAAGTCGTAATCGAAGCTTGTTACTGGTTTCCGGGCGCTTGAAGAAACTACCACTTTTTTCCTGAGGTTTTACGTCATTTCTATATGTACGCACTTGAATTTCCGGGAAGTGATACCAAGCTAAGGTTTCGGTGCCAAGAAATTCAATGCGTGATGCTGTAATATAAAAACACGTCTAAATAATTTAGGCAATTATATATTTTATTAGGCAGATTATTACGGTGCGTGATGCTACGGTACAATATCGAAAAAGGCTAAATAATTTATCAGGTTACATATTTTAATAAGAAAATCTTTTGCGAATTTCTGATGTTGATTTATATTCTTTTCATCAGCATGTTGCAGGATAAATAGTCTTTAAATCTTTACTGCCGGATACGTTCGTGGAATATTTTTCCCTTTTTTTATTATGAATAAGGGATAACGTTACACTGCACTGCAAAATACTCGAGATAATTACGTAAGATGGCGGACACGAGGAGGCACATGCCGCGCCGGGATGATTGCGCACTGCGCCTGTATAGTCGGGTAATTAAACCGCTTAATTATTATTTGTATCGTGCCACACGGGCAACCGTATCCTTCGCGCATCACGGCGTGAGAATAAAATCCGATCGAATTACTAATTGCTCGCAATGACGTCACGGCAGGAAATAGGGTTGCGACATTACCAGGAATTAACGGCTGTTTAACAACAAGTGCATTAATCCGTCGCTGCTCCGCCGGCGGTCGGCACTACTATATAGACGTGGGCCTGATGGGCCCGCGGGTTTGTGTTATTGATTACAATTATGAAATGCCGGCCTTTTTTAGTTTATTTTTATAACAGCCGCGCGCCGTCCATACGCCGCACGATGGCAATGATATATTCCGCTGTGTATTGTGTTCCGCAGCGAGAGGTGCATGGCTAACGCGCGCGCCGGCAAAGTGCCGGCTGAACATTTTCCCCGATAAATCCCACACCTTGCTGTATAAGCCATCCCCAATCGATGCTGTTAAGTGGAGGAGTGTGTGATTTTTGCCAGAAAAATATCTCCAACAATTATGTTCAGGTTTATTTGTTTTTCTCGAAGTGGTTCAGTGAGCACAATTCATTTGCTGCAAATGTAGAGAGTTGGTACAGTACTACTGTATATTACGTGATTTTGTAAATACCCGAACCCATTCGTATCGTGGCTGTCCGCTTTTGCCAAAAAATTCTGCAAAATTCGAGAATTTAATTTTCTGTGAGTTTGTCATATCACTAAATGTGAAAAAAATTTTACTTGTTGCCAGAATGCATGAAGCAGGTATTTATCTGCACACAGCAACAACCCGTAAAAGCGACAGTAAGACGCTCTCAAGTTTTACGAAACTATAAAAAGTCACTAAAATATACTGCTGGCAATAAAAATATTTTTATAGTTTATTTCATTAACACCACTCGACTGGAGTAAATGTCGAAAACATAATTAAATTTATCAAGAAATAGTTACTTACAGATACTGTTGCATTAACAAGCAGGGTACGCAATATTAGATTAAAAATTCATATAAGAAATTATCTATAAGAAAACAAATCCATATGAGAAATATTTTTGGTAATTGTAATATTTTTTAAAATTTCAGAACTGAGAAGCTAAATCAGAAATTTTATTAAGGATAAACAATTTTTATTAAAAAATCCAGATTAAATTAAGGATGCGAAATTTTAATAAGATTCGTACAAAATAAAATGGATAACACGTACTCGTAAAAAAGTAAGCATTAATTGTAAGTACATTTAGAAACGGTCCACGCATCCGCCTTGTTACGTGATTCATTAGGCACCGCACAGAGCGCACGCGCTGCATGGGTACTGTCAACATGGAAATGACTCCGTGCGTTGAAATATATCGTTTTTCCTGTCTGCAGAATTTAAACTTTCCGAATCAGCATTATTCAAACAAATATTACTCCAAACCCTATTGTATACCGATCCGCTCTAAATCAGCCTGACTACAACAATCATACGATCCACGCTGAGCCAATCGAATCCGGCGCGTTCGACAACAGTCATACAAACTGTTGTTGTACCGGCGAAAATACAGCGCGTCTTAATAGCCGGCGCACAGTTGCTGGGGCAGAAATTCCTTCATACGTCTGTGTATTGTTGCGCCCAGACGTTTCGAATTGATGACACATACAGCAGTGTGTGTAAACGGCGCATTTATGTCCAACCTGTAATAATTGTCGTCTTTTTCTGTGATGCTCGTGGAAATCGATGTTTTTATGGGTGCTTATTTTTCTCTGCAGTGTCCTCAAGAAAAACGCTGTGGGGATAAATTAATTTTTATGAAGCGTGCTCAAAAGATGATAATAACTTGAAGAAGGCTTGTCATATTCTGCTCGGGCTGTCCGCCGGGTCGCGACGGGCGCGTTATTCTAGCTAGAATAATTTTCTGAGACACCATGGTAATTTGGTCCCCGATTTATTGGAATTTATTTGGTTTGTCCTGGGTAAATAACGCATTTTTATTTTATTTTGATTGTTACTGGTGTGGCTTGTAAGATGCTAAAATTAATTTTTATTTCAAGGAATTTATTTTGGAAATTAATTATGACTATCAGCTTGATAATTAACTGATTTTTGTGATGAAATATTTAAAAGTTTATTTCTAAAAATATATGGCAAAATTGCTACCTAAAATTTGAAAAACACCGCTTTAATTCGCCTTTCTTACGCAATAATGTAGTGCAACCTCATAAATAATTATGTTCCTGGCTTCCTGTACTCTGTTACGACTTCTCTTTAAAATTCCGACACGTTTAAAAATCTTTTTCTGATAATATTAATAAAAGCGGGGAAACCCCATGATGATGTGCCGCAATGCGCTTAGTAAAGTACAGTATAAAGATCCTGAATGTCTTATTTACGTACAATATGTTTGTTGATGTTTTTTCGTACAATCAGGACAATTTATCAAATTATCAAATTCGATGTTAAAACTATCCAACATGCAGATCTACTTAGTAATTTTACGAGTGCAGAGTTTAAGACCATTGTTAAAATTTCTATTATTTTAAAAATAATTGTGTACGGTGGAGAATTGCGTTCGCTGGGCAGGGCAAAGTGTACTTATCTTGCTATACTGTACAGAAAATCTGTATGAGTAAGTATAGATCCAAATTTCCCGGCTTTTATTGAGAAAATCGTTTAAGCGTCATAAAGTGCGTGTTTAACCAAGGTAAATACGCATTTATTATCTTATCTAATCTATCGCTTTTAACTTTGAATACTTTGACATAATTTCTCACCGTTTCTAAGCTAAAGCGCACATTTTAATTCAGCAGCAAATACAACTGTACCGGCACAGGGATTTGTATAATGGAAAATAAATATTTTAAGGATGCCGTGGAAATTTTGGCAAAATAAGATGAGAGCGCTCGTTGCTGGTGTTGTGATCACCGTTAATAATTTTATATGCCCACACGGATTATACTCTCCGTAATTTAGTTATACCGTTTTTGTTTTTTCTCCTGAGAATAATTTTATGACAACGATAATGTTGTAGGTGGGTTTATTGACCGATCCACCGCCAATATAATCTGTAACACCGCTGTCAACAGCGACCTCTGCACTTCTTCACCCCTCACCATGACCAACCACAACACCATCCTCCTCACCGAAGTCCCGGCGGCCACGCCCATCCTGGACCCGACCCTCCTGCTCAGCGACGGTGACCGGGACCACAGCTACGCCTGCCACCGCCGTCACCGCTCCTCCCCGCCGTCCCTCTTCCCCCGGACCCCCTCCGAGACCGTCCTCCTCCAAGCGCCCGACCTCCTGGACCAGTCGCCCACCTGCCGGGAGAACGTCGCCGACGACATCGAGTTCGAGGAGGTCGTCCCGTACGTGGACGTCTTCGTGATCTTCGGCTACCTCCTCCTGCAGGTCTTCGGCTACCTCAAGGACCTGTGCCGGCGGATGGGATTTGAGAAGAGCATGATCGCCCGGGAGGACGGGAACGAGGGCTTCACCCCGCTGTACAGCAACTGGGAGGCCTTCCTAACCCGCAACATCTACATGCGCATCCGCGACTGCTGGAACCGACCCATCTGCAGTGTCCCGGGGGGAAAGGTCACGGTGATGGAGCGCTCCACCCCGGATAGTGGGTGGAGTTTCCAGCTGACCGGGAAGAAACTGGACACGATCAATATGGGGTCGTATAATTATCTGGGGTTCGCCGATAAGGTGGGTCCGTGTGCGGAGGACGCCGGCCGCGTGATCAGCACCTACGGGGTGGCCAACTGCACGCCCCGCGATGACCTCGGGACGCAGCCGGTGCATGTGGAACTGGAGGAGCTGGTGGCGGAGTTCCTGGGGTGTGAGGCGGCGGTGACGTTCGGGATGGGGTTTGCGACGAACAGTATGAATATACCGGGGCTGGTGGATAAGGAGTGCGCCGTGCTGAGTGATGCACTGAATCACTGCTCCATCGTCACCGGTGTGCGGCTGTCCGGAGCCACCGTCAAGCCCTTCAAGCACAACGATATGCAGGATTTGGAGAAGCGTCTGCGGGAGCTGGTCATACTGGGACATCCGCGGACGCGACGACCTTTCAAGAAGGTATGATTGATATCTGTCTAGTGTTGCTTCTTACATAATACAATAACAGAGATACTTGTATGTATGTACAGATAAATTGTAAATGATAAATCGTAAAATTTATGATCGGGATTGATGTTATGCTGTTCTGGACTGCGCTTTCGAGGGTTTGGTGACCTTGCGTTATATTGTTTCAAGTTCTCATATTCAGAATCGGTTACGCACACAAAATTTGATTACACTAATTTGATTATTTTTCATTAAAAATGTTGAAATTTAAATAATGAAAAACATCTCACGAAATATAGTGTTTGCAATACTACAGCGATCACTGAATTCAGAAATGCACTTTCTAGTTAAAGAATATTAATATCAAATTGTAACGTGTACAGTTTTTTCTCTCCTTCATATAAAATATCATTTCTTTTAAATCCCGGAAGGCGGAGGAAATAAAAACTGGTTTGAAAAAGACTATCGTATAGTAACCAAGTTGGTCATTGGATCCGGAGACGGTTGCTGTTAATTTTCGTTTTGTATCGCAGCCCTTGCAACCTTGATCGCGAGATTTTCTTTTTGGCTCTCCGATCCCGGTTTCTGTAGGTTTTGAATTCGACCAATTTTGTATGAAAGATTTCGTTGCACACTAAAGGATGGATTTTGTAAGCCGTTTTCATCAGAATTCATGGCTTGGTGTTTGTGAGAACTGCGAATCGGAGGTGATACATTATTGCATCACCATAATTTTTCACCCTGACATGTGTACGCGTAGATTACCAAAGATGAGCCACCCAGCTTGTTACGCACTTACTGCACAATGTCCAAAGTAAATTTTTAACAAAGCTTTTTCCAAAAACTTCTCAGACATCCGTTTGCCTAAATTCGTCTCCTTTTTTACTAGAGATAATTTGCCATCGGGTTCTGCGGCACGAGATTCTGTTGCATAAAAAATCATGTTGCATCAAAATTTTCATATACATGTATATTTCATGTATATTATATTCTCGCCGCTTGTCTTATTTTTTTTTAGAGTGATCACAAACTTTTTTTAGAGTGATGACTTTTCGCAATCTGTTGTACTTTCTCTTACAGTTTCTACGATTTTGTAAAATTAAGAAAAACCGTTTCACTGAAAACATGGTTACCCGATTTGACAACCTTTTCAAAACGGAAACAGGAAGTGCAACTTTCTATAGCGTTTTTTTACGGATTGGGGTCGCCTGCCGAATGATCCTGCGTCACATGCCTGGCAAATAATCTGTAGGATCCGGAAGTTTTTTTTTATGTTGATAAAATGACGAGCAAAAAAACTTTATTCGAAATTTGCTATAAAAATCGAAAAACAGCTTGTTTTTGCCGACAGTATAGTACCAGTGCATTTGATTGTAAATTAATCAACTAAGCTTGGTGAGATCTTGTTTACTGTATATTTAATTTAACAACGCCAGGTAATCCATCAGCTATTTGTAAGTACAATGAAAATGCTATTAAAAGCCCAATTATACTCGTTTGTACGAGGTATCGTTTGTACGGTACTCATCGCGGTCAAAAGTTACTCGACTACGCTAGCACGATCGATCTGCAAATTGCACGCGCAAAGGTAAACACTAAACAGTTCTAAGCAAAATCGTTATACCACATTGTTTATGTCGTAAAAAAAGCTTCATTTTATTTTGTACTTGTACACCGTAGTACCGCCCGGTGCATTTTAGGTTTTATTAACGTTCGCTCTTTGCCGGTGGTGTATGCTGTTCTACGTTTTACATGAGTACTCAAAACATGGCGTAACAGTTACTGTGCCAGTGTGTGACTTATTAAATTTTCATAGGATAAACACAACCTTGAAAACAAAGCGTTGCTTCACTTGCTTGGCTAATTGAATTAAGTGCACTGACAGTCTAGAGTCTAGACGGGAGAAAAAAATGCCCGTCTTGTAATTACCTCTTGTACAAGTATGATGACTAATTATGAACGTGTATGTAAACGTATCATTCTGTAAGTACCGGCACCACATTGCATGTACAGAGTCTGTACTACTCAAAATCTTGTAATTATGATGATAAATTTTTTTTGAACGATTAGACATAAAGTTAAGGTGTTAACGTTTTTGAGACTTTTGGATATTCTTCGCTAAGAAAATCCCCTTTTTGCGTATTTAAATTACATGACTGTATGATCTTTTCATACTAAACGGCGCTAGTGCATTAATTTTAGAGATTCTTCCGGTGGGAAAAACTGGCAGCCGTCTAGGTTTCCGAGAATGCTACTGTAATGTCTTAGTGGTTTTCTAATTCTTGTTACCAGCGCTTCCTCCTGGATCAGGTTGCAGTGCATTAACGGAAATAATCTATGGCGTAATATTACTCATGTGTTGCCATTAACCAGTTATTAGATAAATGAATAATATCATTAGTACAGATTACGGAAATACAATGTGTAAGATGTCATATTATCTATGTACCTAATTCATCGCCATACAGCCAGCAAAAAATCTAAATGCAAAGGTATATCAATATGGAATAATTTTTAACACGCATCTTATTATGTTAATGTTGGTTTTCTACAGATTTTGATCATCGTGGAAGGTCTGTACAGTATGGAGGGCTCCATCTGCAAACTGCCGGAAATCATTGCCCTGAAGAAGAAATACAAAGCCTACGTGTTCCTGGACGAAGCGCACAGTGTGGGCGCCATGGGCCCGCGGGGCCGCGGCATCGTCGACTACTTCGGCCTGGACTCCCGCGACGTCGACGTCATGATGGGGACCTTCAGCAAATCCTTCGGCGCGGCCGGCGGCTACATTGCCGGCTCGCATGACCTCATCGCACACCTCAAAGACACCTCCGGCGGGATGATCTACTCCTCGGCCATGGCGGCGCCCGTCGCCCAGCAGATCATCACGTCCATGCGCATCATCATGAACAAGGACGGCACCGGCGAGGGGATGCGGCGGATCCGGCAGTTGGCGGAGAACACGCGTTATTTCCGCAGTGAACTGAAAAAGCGCGGTTTTATTGTCTACGGACATAAGGATTCGCCGGTGGTGCCGCTGCTGCTGTACTACCCGACCAAAGTGGCCTGTTTCGGACGGTTCATGCTGCAGCGGGGCGTGGCCGTGGTGGTGGTGGGGTTTCCCGCCACCCCGTTGCGGTTGGCGCGGGCGCGCTTCTGTATGTCGGCAGCGCACAGCAAAGCCATGCTGGATGAGGTCCTCACGGCGGCCAATGATGTGGGTGATATTTTGAATATTAAGTATTCACGGATACATGGCAAGTACAAAGCGGATAACTATGTCGATGCGGAGTAGTGATGATGTTGATAATTATAATGGCAAATATGGAACGTGGGTGTTTTGTTACTGGTTTAGAGATTTGTTTTTATATGCGGAGCAGTTTCTTTTTTTTCATTGAACGAAGGGGCTGTGATTTTTTCCTGGAGTGTCCTAATTGCCAATTGTACAGAGTGGATGTTTTCTTTTTTATAATGGCGGTAGAATAATTATTTTCGTACGTATTTATTTTTTCTGTGGATGATTTATAATAAGAATAAGGGATTGTGCAAAATGACGTGCTGTGGTACCAAACTGAAAACTTCTGGTGACGTGGTGGAAGTTATACAGGGTCATGTACTGTACGAGTAAACTGTACGAGTATGGTTCTACATTCATTCATTTGAACAATCCTGATAGAAGATAGTTACGGCAGTCGGCAGACGACTAATGTAGCGCCTGGTCGTCGCAAAATCCTAGGGTAATCAACAAAAGCAGATTTTGGAGTTACGCAACGTATGAACGTAATAATTATCAGCGGTAGTTTTTACGTCATTAGCTCAACCAACTGACGTTTCTCACTGCGGAGGAACGTAAATTTCAAAATAAACGCCGGGTTGTTTTCGTATAACATGGGCGTCACACCTTGCTATCAACACTAGTTGTCTGAAGCCTGAAGGCATAAAATTATAACTACAGTACAGTACTTTGTCGACGTTTGTTCTTTTGTAATAATTTGTTGTTCTTGAGACAAGAAAGTCTATAAAACTTCGTAATGCACACTAAACACTATAAATAATTTAAATACTGTGACTCTAAAGAGCATAAAGAGGTGGGAAAAAATTTAAACTCATTTTAATTGAACGATACGGCATCGTTATTTATTAAATATCAGTTTCGAAGCTTACAGATATAATTGATACCTACTAGCTTTTATACGTTTACTTTACTATTGTAAACACCGTTGCTCCGATACACCATGGAAAATAAAATGTTTGGCAGCAACGTAGCACAAGGTTACTTACTTCAACATAAGTGCATGGCAGGTACTAACAAAGCATTATTACGGTAAATCAAGAATTCACGATCAGATAAATATCCGGGACATGTACTGTACGCCATGTTTTCTTATCAGTACTGTTGTGTTTAATCGGCAATAGCCCTCCATGTAACAAAAAAGCTTGCGCTGGGGACACTAATCAAAATGGTTAAAATTTTGAACGTTAAAAAACATCCAAAATCATTATTGCCGTCGAAAATCCTACTCGTAGGACGCGTATTCAATGCACCCAGCACTGCAGCATCTCCTCTAACAACAACCATACTTAGGCGCAGCTTGAGGAAGGCAGTAGACCGAGGCTCTCCGGTGCCTTCACAACGGATCTTTCTATCGACGAAACGAATAAGCTCCGCAAATGCTGAACCAAATATACCAAGAGTCACGATCGCCAGAGGATAGAAAATGAAGCCCATTTCTTCGAGGAACGCGTACTTGTGTCTTTTACTGACCTCCGCCAATCGGGCGACGCTGCCGGCCGCCGTCGAACTTCCCGGACGTGGGAAGCGGTTACCGTATCCCAACATGTAGCATCCCATACAACGGCTTTACCATTATGTACGGGAACAAATGACATCCCGTCTGGTCGCCTGTTGCTTTCGCTTGCACATCCGCATCACTACTCGTACTGTTGATACTTTCAATATATATGGGTGCACATTTCAAGCACTGAAGGTACCTGTAATATAAGTGCTGCGACAAGAATTTTCCTGATAGGTCCTGGCGGTACCAGGGAATATAACTAAGTTAGCTAATCTGAATCTTAGTATCCGTCATTTTCCGGCACTGCAATGGAGGAGCTGCTGGAAAAGCACAATACGGTGTTGTTGGGCCATGGAAAACAATGCAAAACCCACCCGCACCTGAAGCCATACCGGTATTTTGCAAAGCGAGACCTGTCCTTTTCGCATTCCGCGAAGCGTCGGAGCGCGACCTAAACTGAATCGCCTAGTAGATACGGTAAACCTTACTGCGATGTATCGAACGAACTGGTCGGCTCCGTTGATGTCTTAAAGGAGCGTGTGGTGTGGAAGGGTCTTGTTCTGCAGCTGACTATGTGCTACTGTAGCTGAGTGGGCTTCTCCAATAGATTTCATAGCAACCATGTTAAATTGTTCATTTATCTGTATGGGTCATAACGAGAGTGGAAATTAATAAATATACGTGGTACGATTTATTTATATACACTGTACTGTGTACACCAACTTCTAAAAAGTCAAAAGCAGCTTGACCGGATTATTACTGCCTTCAACAGAAACAAGAAAAGGAGAGCAAGTTTAGAAACATGCAAGAAAACAAGAGTAGGAAAGCTAGATATCATTAGTCCCTTATACGGATTCCATTGATCGCATTGTAACAATTAGATATAAGATATTACTGCAGAAACTGATGTCTACACAATGCACAGCGCATATTATACAATGTACAGTACTGTTGTTGCTCATATAGAAATACCTAAGTTTTAACGTTTTAACCTTTTTACTAGCTAGAAAAATCTATCTCACCGTTGATGGGCAATTGGATTCTTTTGAGGGATGTTACTAAGGCTGCCGCGTTAACGCGGTTGCTACTGTCCATACAGAAGCATTTCTCAATTATTCCTGTAATATCTTGGTTTACGCAATGGGTAATAAGCGGCACGAAGCCATCCGCGATGTGAAACAAAATGCAGTTGTCCTTCATTTTATCGATGCGCAGTCGTTGCGCGGTGCCATGCCGATGCAGCCACTTCTCGGCATTTCCCGTATGACAATCGACCAAATCCAGCATAATACAGCCAAGACTCCAGATGTCCGTTTTGCGACCGGGTCGCGCGTCAACAGTATTATGGGCAACAAATGTCGCCGCCATTTCGGGGGAGGTGTAGCGTGCAGTGCCGTACAGACGAGTAATGTCTTTGGTCAGCGTCTGGCTATCTTGCATGAAAATTACGTCGTCGAGGTCACCGATATGCAGGCTATACGCATCGGAGCTTTTCGCACTCCGCTTCAGTAGTATGTTCGCCGGTTTCAGATCGCCGTGTATAATTCCGTTACTGTGCAAATAGTTCACACCCTCTGCTATCTGCTGGCTGAAATCAACGAGATTGCACAACGACAGCGTTTGAAATGACGAAGTTAAGCATGCAATCATGTCCGCCAGATCTCCGTCTAAAAGAAGACAGCGCGAATACAAATTTAATACATAATGCATTTACACGAGTCCCGAAACTTCCTCTAATCTATTCTGCTAACCCGGAAGATAATCCATCATCAGTTCAATCAGCATTCCTTTGGCAACTTGCTGCATCGTGATTTTGTAGTATCCAATAACGTTTTTATGCTTGAGCGATAACAGAGTAATCCACCTTCGCGCCATAGCCTGTTCGCCGGTAGTTGTTCCATTAATGTTCGGACCCGGGTTTATTTTGCCCCTTAAATAGAGTTCTTTTACTGCAACGTCATCCGGTCCACGAAAGTCCCCGCGGAATCGAATCTTTGCTTTGTACACAGTTCCGAAAGACCCGCAACCTATACGATCATGTTTCTGGTAACTGTAGATGCAGTTACTGCCAAATGACACCGCAGCACAAGTCGCGGCAGCAGCAGATTTAGAAACCAGCAAAATTTGGCTTTCTTTATATGAACACGACAGCGCGTAAGAAATGGCTACACATGTTGCAAATAAGTAAACACCGTAGCAGAAAAACGACCTATCCATGGCAGAATAAGAATGTGTAAGTTGAGTAGTCTTCGATAAAAGCGGTTGCCGAAGCTCAAGTTATTTAGGTGGAAGATGATAAAACAAGATGAACACCCATATTGACAAAATACGGTCATAGTCCAAGAGAGAATGGTAGTTCAGTACGGTGCATGATCAAAAACCATGACGTCTTACATACATTAGCCTAAAATTGCGGCGAAAGACTTCCCTTTCGAAGGATTCGTAAAAGTACGCCCGTGGAGATGCAGTATGTAAAGTTTAGAACGGCATTGAAATTTGGTTCTCCATCCCTTCAGCCGACCATAATTAAAATTTATTCACAATAAACTGCCGACAGCCAACAAGACAGTAAGCAACGTTAACTTTTCGGAGTATCATCCCTGCAATGTTGACGACAGCAGTGCTTGTCTGACTAGGAATTTGCGCTGACTATGGTAACGGCGGCGCACAGCCAATCTTTCCGACGCATGTGAAATTACACAAGCAAAGATTATAGTGAATCGAGCTAACTGAAATACCTAACTGAAAGTTGGAACTATAACCATTGGAACTGCAAGCTGGAATACGTATTGCCTTATCTTACACGACTTTTCATTGCACTGCATTCGTTACAAGGAGCGTCGGTGAACGCAAACATTTGGTATCTAATCGTTTCACGGTTTCACCCACCGATTATGAAAACGATTCAGCCGAGCTCGACGCTTTTACTGACCAACCTCTTGCCATTTGCCGGAACGGTTACTGTGTTTCAGTGCTTATTGCTTACTCTGCCACACACGGAAACTGCTCTGAATTTCTGTTTTTCCGTACATTCGCGGCGATGCGCACACTCTGTGCTGTAACTTGTGAGCATCGTTGTAGACCTGACGCCGAAGAGGGCAATACCCCGTGAATCCCGACAGAAGAGTTTACGCCTCATTCAACTTTCTACAAGCGACAGAAAGGTGAATGCTTTTTCATTGAACAACAACGCTCAATCCATCCACTTTCCTGTCTGCTACCTACCGTACATGGACGGAAGCGAAGATTTAAGATGCAGAACAAATCGGTACCTGCAGTGCATGCACCAAGCCATTCTCCCGAAATAAGGATTGCAAACGGGTTAAGTACTTAATTGTGCAATCCCAGCAGTTTATAAGAAAAACACTATAATTCCGAGGCATTAGCTAATGCGACTGTGTGCCGTGTGGTTTGCAGGCGGATATTAGTTTAAGCCGGTCATGGCATGCAGCCATGCACCACTCCTAAAATTCAGTTCAACTGCACACGTATTAGCAACTAACAAGTATCTGTAATCAAAATCGATGAAGCATAGATCGATCATATCACGCAACATGTTATTCAGTTCATGTGTGATCGTGGCAATTGGTACAAAACCCAGTAAACCTGGTGCAGTTGGCAAATTGTTGCAGTTTTCATTGCCGTCTGCTTCCTTCGGATAACGTATCACACTTCCAAGTGGTGCCTTGTTAAGTTAATTAAGCAAACTGTAACAAAATGTCTCGTGTTGTTTCATACCTGTGAGTTTTCCCAGAGAAACATTTACTTTCCTCCTGAGACAAAACTGTTGTCTACAACTGTATTTTCTCCCAGGTTTTCGGCTCTGCTGATAGCGGGATTTGCTGCTGCAACCTCCGAACCCCGGATTCCGGCAGAACCAAGCAAATCGATCAGGAAGCGACCAAGGCTGTCAATGCGGTGAGCCTTGTCCAAACAGCAACTGCGGTTTTATCTGTACAATCCGCAAACATCTCCGATTTTTAATAAAACAAAATCCGTCAACCCGCCTCTGTTACAAATTCTAGTTATAAGAAATCTCAAATTTGGGAAATTTCATGGAAAGTTATCTGTGTACTCTAGGTTTCCGAAGAATTAAGAAGCAAAGTTAAGATCAGCAGCGGTACCATTCTCGTTCCAGTGTCATACACGGTACAAATCGGCGTGGAAAACAGATATTTTGTTAAGGTAAAGGCCTGCATGATACTTCCTGCAAAAATGTCAAGGCAAACCATACATATTATAATATTATTATGTAATAGGCACTTCTGTAAGTTTTCCAATATTACCGTAGATCCGACTTGGAGCTGGTGAAAGCGCAAAGTACATCCACGCGAAGATCTACAAATTTCTAATGCAAAAGGACAAATACTCCTTGGAGAATACCAAGGAAGCTAGCGTAGCGGATCCCATTGTCTACTTTGAATAAACAACGGTCTGACGATTACCATGATTCTAATAAGTAATACAGCCGAATTTCTCTGATACTACCGTATATTTCCGAGATACTGTACCAGTATGCAACCAAAGGAACTGAGGTTATAAAGACGGGTTAAGCGACTCTTCGACGGTTTTTTATCTGTACTAACTACTCAGGTTCGAAGAAATATTTATTGTTCTAGGTATAGATTGCCGCACAAAACTGATAAATGTTGATATAATAATTATAACACCGAAGCATACGACACGATAGTACTCAGTAATACTCATAGAGTCACAGTCAGAGGTATGTATGTACTATGTACATAACTCGAAATTTGCGAATTGTTAAGCTACCAGTTTACCAGACGCCGCTTATTTCATTGTTTCAGTTTTAAGATGTCAATACAAAACAACCAGTCACAGATCCACTGCGTTTGTGCGTACAATGTAATGGAGGCCAGATGCAACTCTCACTTAGGATTGTCTCTCGCGAAACTTTTAATTAAAGTGATTCATCAGTACAGTATCATACTATGAACCCACAAGGAAGAAGTTCTTTTGTAAAAACTGATATTGCTTGGAGGAATTAGTGAGCCGGTTCTGCAATGAGCCACTCCTGCAGCTTTTGGCGACTTTCTCGTACAGAGTGCTAATGAGTTCTTTATAATCGGTTTAGTAATACTAATATGAGGTTATGTGTTCTTGTACAAGTGACATGTAATCCGAGAAAAGTTGTTGAGGTCGGCACTTTTTAAAGCATTCTTCATCAATTGCTTTGCACAGCGCATCAGACTGCCAGTAGCTGCACAGACTGAGGCAAAAAATGTATTGTGCTCTTTTATACATGTAAGTCAGTTCATACAAAAAATATCCACTATAGCTCCACTTATAACTAATGTGACAGTGTGTGCCAGTGTACGCGTTTTCTTCCAGCGTTTCCGCCCTACTGATTGCCGGATTTGCTGCTGCAACTTCCGAACCACATGCACCTGAAGTCACGGAAACAAAAAAAATTGATCAGGAAGCCAAAAAGGCTATGGACGCGGTGAGCGCTGTCAAAAAAATAAATTGGTTTTTTAGCAAAATTTTTTAGTTGTCTGCTTTTCGTAAACCCGTTTGTTAGATCCACTTGGAAATTATTTATATTACCTTCGTTGAAAACAAGCTGTGCAGGTCTCCCAGGAAATAAAGGTCAGGGCCAAGGTCAGTAACAGCACCGTTCTGAATCCAGTGTCGTATGCTAAAGAGAAGGATTACTTGGGCGTCGTATACCCCGTTTACATCGTCAAGGTAAAGGTCTGGCTGATACATACTCACAGCCACCGCACAAGCGTAATGTCGAATCGTATTAAAAAGTTTTCAGTTTGTATATTTCGACTAGATCCGACTGGGGGCTGGTCAACCCGAAAGATACGTCCATGCCCAAATCTACCATGGTATATTCGACGGCAAATACTATCTGGAGAGGGTGAAGGACGCTCACCGAGAAGATCCGTTCGCTTACATTTTCTGAACAAGTGTTTCGCCATCCACACTGCATACTGAAACAAGCAAGAGTGCAACATTTCGTTTTCGGCATACAGAAAACAGTGCTGACATCCATAATGCGACCAAGGAACTCAGTTTGTTAGAACCACCTTAACGCCATGTTTGAGCATAAATGCGATGTCAGTTATGTGGCAGTTGTTATTTTCTGTCTGTAGATCTAGAAGTTGAAACTCGATCAAAATCTTGAGCATCAGTTCTTTGGAAGACGTAATAACTAATGTTATCAGACGATACTAGCTAATATGAGTAACAGTGGCCTTGAACCGGTACTGTTGCCGGTTACAACATCTAGCCCCTCCTGCATTTCTTTCAGCCTGTACACATGTCAATAAGTAATTAATAATTGGTTCTGCTTTATGAGGTTACGCATTCCTTTATATAAGTGAGAGAAAACCGAGAAAATTTTGGTGAGTTTGGCAGTCTGCGTCGGCATTTTCATAGCCAACAATCGTGCACAACGGGCTGCCAACAGCTGCTTTACAAGTTACATATACAGACTGTGGCACATAATGTCTCGCTTTCTGTTATATCGGTAAGATTCATATGAAACTTTTTTTTCGTTATATTGCCCTTTTCCCTTATCTTTCCCATAATTTTCCGGCAGCTGTATTTTCTTTCAGCGCTTCGGCTTTACGATTAATTGGATATGTTGCTTGAAGTTCCGAACCGCGTCCACCGACAGTCGCGAGAACCGAAGATGCTGAATGCTGAGTCGCTGACGAGGAAGCGAAACGTGCTGTTAACGCGGTTAACTTTACTAATTACAATTTCCTCCTAAATCCGAAAATTGTCCGCGGGATGCCAAACTCTACAACCACTTCTCCTGCAATATATTTGTGTAACCATCGTAAAAAACAAGTTGCGTAGGTTTCTGAGGAAATAAAGGCCAAGGTCATCAGCGGCAGCGTTCTCGATCCGGATTCGTACGCCAAAAGAACAGATATCACTGGGAAAATCGTTCCAAAATACTTCGTCAAGGCAAAACGCTGCAAGATACTAACTGTAGAAGCATAGTGCCCAACCGAATTTTGTATCGGTGCCTGGGTTGATTTTCTAATTGTAGCTCTGGCTGGCAACTGCTCTACGGTATCTACTGTCTAGGAAGGTATCTGTACATCCACGCCAAGATCCGCCGGCATGACGACGGCACATACAGTTTACTACGTATCAGGAACGCTAGCGAAGACGATCCCATTACCCACCTTTGAATAATCGGCCGTTTTAATTACCGTCCACACTGTTTACTTTCGCAATGCACATGGCATAGTACCGAATTCTTTCTCTTGCGTTAAAAACTCCAGTATTGATGATATACGACCACTGAACCACATTAAAGTGGTATTTGTGGCACAATGCCAATTCTTTGGCAGTTTCATGCATTTGCGTTAGTTTTTTTATATTCTTCTCGTGTTCTAAGCACACTCTAACAATAGCAGTACTTCCTATGATTTTACCTTTACCTTAGAACTTGATACCTTTGAAAAAAAGTTTGAAAAACTACTGGTACCGAAACGGCATTTGTATCTTAATATAACGCATCATCTCAGCACCGCTCAATCAAACACCCACGTAACCACGTCGCACTGCAAAGCACGGGTTCCTTTACCTGCGGCAAGAAAATTACGCAGTGAAATTATAACATGTTAGTCAACGCTTTAGATTCCCGATTCGCCAACCAGTTTAATGTTGCTGAAACACGGTAAACTGAAGATACCGTAGCAGGTATCTGTTACCATTGAACCTCAAGTTTCTAGCTGCTCTGTAGTCTGTATATTTTGCTTAGGTATTTGTGCAATATCGGCAAACTACGCAAAAAAACTTCGAATGGAATCGTTGCCTAAAAGAACCAGCATGGTGATTAAAAGGAGTCGTCCGATTATCGTAAATAACGTATCATATATGTACGATCATATAAGTATTCCTCCATTTCGGCTTCGCCCGTCATGGACAACGTCCGCGCCGCTATATGAGCGATGGCATTCAACGAACTAGAAGCATGACTAACGTACGCTGATATTTCTGGCGCGGTCGCTTCATCCATACTTTACCCCTACTTACGTATATGAATACGGCGAGAGGACAACATGGAAGCTAGTTTTCTGTTTTCCGTAACATCTGAACATAAAATTTCAAACTTCTCAGACCACTGGTGGCTGTAGCAATGGGAATGGTCTCCATAAAGTTTTGTCCTTGCTAGCGCTACCGAAATCCGCCATAGTACGAGTAACTTAAGCGATGTACCGAACGGCTAAGGTCGAATTAAAGACCGTCTAATGCTACTAAAGCTTGAACGTTGCACTGTATTTTCACAATATTACTGTAATGATCATCCCTGCCCATTAGCATAAGGTCTTCTAAAGGAACTTCTCCACCTACTTTTTGATTACACAATTGCACGGTAAGCACTTGATTTGCATCCGCTCAAACCATCTCTTATTGTCCTTAGACGATGGACTGTGTCGAATGGCTTGTATCTTAATTATTTCGAACTGATGTTCGTACTGTTTTCGTGACTTCCTTTCTTCAATGGATACTTGCAGATACATCCGTAATCTCAGCTAACGTCGACCTATTTACCATTAATTTTCTTCACTGCCCAGCCTTATAAACGATCGATTACTCTCAGCTCAAAGTGCTCAATACCTAAGCAAATCATGTTACTTACTTATTTAAATTTAGAGGCACTGCAATACATATTAAGGAAAATACAGAATACGGAACGCACTGGCGCCTGATTTGTGCAATAACGGCAAACTACGCAAAAAAACGCAGTAATGCGGCAAACCTAAGACTAGGGAAGCTTAACTTTTTACGAAGAACAATTGTATTATTACTGAATACAAAGTGTCCTGGGCAACTACAAACGGAAAATACATTTTTCTAAGTAAATTTCTCACGATTGTTTACGAGATTGCACGAGTTGCACGATTGTTTACGAGTTTACGATTGCAGATTGTTTACGAGTTGCACAATTACGTACTGTACAATAAAAATCGAAAAACACATAAGTATTAATAGACGTATTCTTTTTAATGTAGTGTATTATAGTGCAAGTACTCCAACTAGTTTTTACAGTACTTAATTACAATACGTAATTATGTACTTATTTGCCTGACAACCACATAAAGGTCAATGCAAGCACTCATTGAAGCACATAAATACCCTAGTCATAAATTTGAGATTAAAAGTTTTTAGCTTACATTAGTATCGTGCTTGTTATTTCTCAGCCACACAAAAAAACCTCTATAGTGCTTTTTTTTTCTTAACCACATCAAGGCGAAGGAACATTTTGTACTGGCGGCAGTCTTACAGTAATTAAAGAAGGAAATACAGCACGTACAACTTACCATAATTAGGAACATAAAAAATTATTATACGTGCACTGAATGTGACATTGGGCACATACAATAGACTAAAGACAAAAAATTAATTATTATAAGCTAAGACAGTGCCATATTATAATACGAGTAGTACTTAGCTACAACACTGTAGTCCCAAGTAGTATTTTTTATTGGAAATGTGCGTTCGCTATAGACTAAAACGTTTTTAAGGAAATTGTAGTATCTTCTGAGAACTTGCAATAATAACGACAGCAAAACCTGCAGTTTCCAGTTACGATCACCAAAAATGGCGTTGGCGATGGGCTTGTAAGTTCAGAGTCGAGGAAGGGTCTCTTGTGTGTGCATACATTGTTATGGTGTGAATGTTGACCTTTCCCTTACTCACTGCTGTATGAGTTAATTAATGCTGTCTGGGCAGTGTACTGGCGGTGATGGTGGGAGTGGGTTCGTCTTTGGCATTTCCCTATGCCCGTCCGTTGCCCGTGCCCCCGCCGTTCCCCTACAATCGCCCGTTACCCGTGCCCCCATCCCCACCCTCCCCTTTTAACCGTCCGCTGATACCCCCCACGGGCTGGATGGGGGGATATCCAGGACCAGGAGGATTTATGCAAGGACCACTAGCCACAGGTGGTCTGTCTGTTCAGAAAGAGGCCGATGAAACCGTTCAGAAGGCCGTAGATGCAGTAAGTACAAGTCCACCTAATGGGGCGTAAATTACAGTATACAGCAGTTTTCGAAGAAATACTTTTTACGATGTAATATGGCGCCAAAGTAATCTAATTTTTGCAAGGATAAACAAGCTTTAATTTTTACGGCAATAGCTTTGGCAGGTATTTTTATAAGCGTACGGTTACATTCTTTTTTTTGTAAGTTTGTGTAGCGATTGCTGTTAATCTCCATTTGTACGCTTGAATTCGCGCCTGCTATAGTGCACGGTATGTTAGCTGGTCTGAATAAAATAATTTACAAATGGTGCGCCAATCAGGTGGCCGATCAAATTAAGAAGGCGACCGGCAGCACGGATAACCGTTTCATTGCGGTGGAATACCGTACAGGTGTCGTCGCTGGACTTAACTACTTTGTGAAGGTATGTAGTACTAGTATATACCATATACAGATATGTCGGACAAATTGGCAGAATCATGACCTCAACGGAAAATGTAATATACGGGTTGCGTTTTCATGAGTAGGTCCGTTGGGGAGCAAAAAACCTCGATCGCTACTATCATGTGGCCATCTTTCAAGACCTAAAGGGAAACTTTACGTTGACCAATGTGAAAGACGCCAGTCAACACAGTCCAATTATGATGATGTAACAAGGTCATCAGCAGAACGAGGTAGAGCGGAACGCAGAGACCAGACGATCCGCATCTTAAAAAAAATCGCTAACTGTATTTTTAACTCCTTTAAAGCATAGGACTGGTTTCATGCTATTATTACATAAGTCTATGACATGTCACATGGCCCATAAATACAAAACCTTGTTATGTAATGCCTTGATTGGCAATTTGGCTCTTCAGGAGATGGCTGACATTGCAAGAGACAATTACTTATGCAAAAATTATGTCCTTGGAGAACCTGCTAACTGAATAATTATCTACCGACCGGAAGCGTAAACCAGTGAAAACGGCATCCCTGTGCCGGTTTTCTGACTTTTCTCGAGTGTTGTTAACTCAATACTTGTACGGAACGTCACAGAGAATAGAGAGGCGATAGCGCATTCTAAAAAGGTCACCAGAGTGTGGTTTTTTCACAGTCTGAAGATCTTATTAAGTATCTTAAAAATCTCAAAATCGCGCAGTCAGCAGCATAATAATTGTTATTTTGTAATTTGGTCAGTTGCCACCAATTACCATCCAGAGATAGCTAATTAACATCTAATAGGCGCTTAGAAAAACGTAATTGGATCCCCTCCACCACTCTCTCTGATGCTCACCAGACTGTATTTGCCCTTAAGATCCATAAAAATCTTAGCGTGGATGAAGCGTCCGATGGGGGGTCCCAGCATGATCTAAGCGGGAAATAAAAATAGTGGCGCGTGAAACACTTTTGACAGTCCGAGTATTGGGATCAGAATCAATATGTTGCAGGTTTACCTTGACGAAGTAGTTAATGCCGGCAACGGTTTGTGTTGCGTATCCGGCCGTAAGGAGCGTGGTGCCGCTAGGGACTTTAGCTTTGGCTTTTATTTGGCTGGAAACCTACATTTGGTTTGTATTTCGAGGTTGTATAACAGTATTGTACAGGCAGTACAGGTAAATGCGAATAGCGTCGAACGCGAGGTTGCAAATATAATAATCATGGAAAAAGTGTTGTTTTTACAGATAAAACGTTACGTTTTCATAATGTCAGTGCTATGATTCAGATTGTTCCGAAACAGAAGCGACTGCATAGTATCTATCTGATGGTGAGTTATGTATTTCTGAAGTGCTTACTGCATTGACGGCTTCCTCCACTTCAGGATCGACTAATTTGGTTTTGCTGAGTCCGCCATTCACCTCGGGTGCTGCGGCAGCTAATCCAGCAATAAGTAGTGTCGAAATGCTGGAAAGGTACGCACATGGTACACCCGCGTAAAAGGTGACTGTTACGGAGCATTAAACACCATGAAGAACTTACAGGTATAAAAGGGCACGAGACATGTTGCAAAACTGGGGGGGCAGCTTCAGTACAGCTGCTGGAAGTTTTGTGTGTACGCCGTGAAAGCTTGTCAATGTCAGTGCGATATTAGCTTTACTTTTACAGTGAAACAGTCTAATTGACCAATATTGTGCGGCTTATATATAGACGCGCCCAAATTGAATTACACTGTCTCGATTAATTTTATGCAGAGTCAGTATAATGGCACCACATATAGATTTATGATGGCTATAAACCGGTACCACGATACAAATGCAAATTAAAACGTCTCTGCAAGGACTTGGCATAGTCAAATTTAACACAAATAATTAAGCAGTTCTGTTCCTATCAGCTTTATTTTTCTGATTAACTTAAGCGATGGTACGATGGTTTAAATAATTATAGTGTTATTTGCTTGGGTCAGTCAATCTGGCTCGTTTCAAGTCGACAAAACAGTTCGTACTTACCGTAACTGAACGAAGCTGCGCACTAAAAACCTTTGTGCAGTACAATACATCATTATATTCTGTTTCTATAAAGTAAAGATGAATAATATTTAATATCTGGTGTTTGGTTAAATGCCTAATACCATCAGCACACGCCGATATACAGAGTACTCGACGATGACACCACTTGACGATCGCTAGGAGGGTTTGACTCACAATTTTTGCTGGCCAATAAAAAAACTTGTTATCCACTGGCTTCTAGACTAAAACCATTATGCTAAATTTAATGTAAACAAGGCTGTAAATATAGCTCATTGTTAATATCGCACACGTTAAGCACGTGCAATATTTGGAATCTGCTTATAGTCTGCACGATGATTAATCCCCGTCAACCGGAAGCGTAAATCAATCAAATTGCCGTTTATGTGCCAATATTTTCTCGCAATTGTTTTTTGCATTTATTAATGTTCTTAGTTTGATGATTGCCATTGACGTGCATTTAAATTCTTTTTGCATTTCCTAATTTGGTTGATGCATTTAAATTCTTTTTGCTGTTCTTTTTTCAGCTTTAATTTATGTTCCGGTTGGACCCTTTAGAAAGTCGACATTAATTACATAGATGCACGGAGTTTACACCCAAAAACTTGCACCGTATTCGTCTCGAGTAGTACTTTGGTTCGTGCGAAATTAGGATCTTGAGAATGAACGTCAGAGAGTGAACATCGGCATTATAATTGTTAAGGACAGAACTTGTCAATTAGCAATGAGTAATAACGGTAGCTCAAAAGAATGTGATCGGATCCGGTCCATTAGCGTCTTTAATGCTGACCAGTGTGTATTTGCCCTTGAGATCCCAGAAAATCTTAGCGTGAATGTACTGTCCGCCTTGACCAGCTCCGAGTCTTATCTAAATAAATAAATGAACATAGACGTGAGCGTTAAATGCTCCCCGTACTTATGCTGGTTGTGTAATAACATCAAGGGTTTACCTTGACGAAGTAGTTAGTGCCGGCAACGGTTTGCTTGGAGTATAACACCGGAATGAGGATGGTATTGCTGCTGACCCTAGCTTTGGAAATAATTTGGCGGGAAACCTATATACAGTCGCAATCCACAATTAATTAAAAAACGATCGCCAACATATTGTCGTAGCTTTGATTAAGAGTAATAGTGTCGAAGGGAAAGCGGCTGCGCCAGTGCTTATTGCTGATCGATACAGTAGCCATTTCGTTCGCACTTACCGCGTTGACGGCGTCCTTCACTTCCTTATCGGCTTCCTTGGGTTTTCCGAGTCCGCCTTTCGGTTCGAGTGCTGCAGCGAATCCAACCACCAGCAAGGCCGAAACGCTGAAAGCACGGACAGTCATGTCACATAAAGTACATAATGATTGTTTCAAATAAAAATAAAAATCCAAATATGCATTTCAGTGACTTACAGGTATAAAAGGGCACGAGACATTTTGCCAAAGTCGGTTGGTTAAAAACGCAGCTGCTGGTAGCTTGATTTGCTGTGCAGTATAACAAACACTCGAACTTATCAAAGCCGTCTGGAATATCCTGCGACTTATATAGAAACTCCAAAATCCATATTATATACTGTAGCAATTACTAATTCTGTATCAAGTTGAAAATAGTTTCAGGGCTTTTGTACAAACTGAATTTGGTTGGTACCGGTTTTGCGCTATCATCAATCATTGTGGTACAGATATTAATTACCCTGTCGACTCTGAATATTTGTTACAGATACATTTATTTTACACAGAAGATTCAAGAACCGATCGACTGGTATTCGTAGCTGCGAAATCAGTACAGTACTTTTTGTAGGAGCACGTGTGAGTATCGAATATTTTACATATTGCTGCTTATTTTTTTAATTTTTTTATTTATGTATACTTTTATTCTCATGTATTTCTTAATTTGCGTTTTATTACGCGCTTGTACTTTTAAGCCGCCCGATTTCGTTAAATTCTTAAGTAATTGACAAAAATAACTTAATCATATATTATTATTATTTTTTATATCGCTTTTTGTAAGTGCACATATGCGTATGTTAATGTGAATAACCCAATAAAAATCCTCGCACATGAATATTTTTACATTGCTGCGTAGGCGTGGCTGAACGCAGTCCGGCAGTCGTGAATAAGAAATTAATTAAGTATCTATTACTTATCGTTAATTAATTTTTATGTGTGCGAGAACATATGCACTGGTATAAGTGCTAATTAATTACCAGTTAGTAAAATTTAATTATGTCCCAGTTCATGACGTGATGCTATCGGCAATTAGCTATAGTAGCCGCTGTGTAATCATGAAAAAAACGCCGAAGTCACTATCGTGTTGAAATCCGTTTAGGAATTCTAATAACTTTTTGCAACATGATGCGTCTGCAGACTTTGCACGAACGATAAACGGAAGTAAAGAAATAAACACAGTGACTAATACAGGAAATTCAGAATTTGCGCCCTCCATTCAGTTTGCTTGTCAGTCGATGCCATCTTGCGTGTGTTGATTCACATTCTGGACTGTGAAGCGTGTTATAAGTAGTTGCTGGAATATCGGATTTTCTCTCTTTTCCCAAAGGTACGTGATTCTATAAATACGAATACAACATTTTGATTGTTTTGTAAAGCAGTTTTTCTGTAAGTTTCTTTTTCTGCCTCGCTGTCGTAATTCAATCGCATTGTTCCGAAATCCAGTCTGCTACTTTCCAGTTTCCACTATGCAGCAGCCTGTTATCATACTGTAAGCAACAATCGAGTACGATACTTTGTGTTATTATCGCTTCGGGCGCTTTATGTCACCAGTCACACTGCAATTTCTGATTTCTCGCTATTCTGCATGCCTCTGTAATTCCCTGATGATTAATCATCACTGAGTAATAGCCGTGATAATTCCGTAGTTCGCCAACTGGTCTTCCAGTGTAACGTGATCCAGTGAAGCTCACAGTCCGCAGAAGGCAGTTGACAGGGAATTTCTCTTCTGTGCTTGCAGATCTCTGTTGTGCTTTGTGTTGACCATGGCCGACGCAGCTGATCAGCATCGCCAGCAGCGACCTGGTGGATTGGGAGCCTCCAAGCCAGCGGACGAGGAGGTGCAGCAGGCTGTCAAGGCGGTAAGTGCGACGTTTGCTGTCCATATACGCACATCGTGCAATCATGTGCAGACTGCAGAGCCACTAAATTACACTTATTACAGTAATTGAAATCAGAAATAAATTAATACCTTAAGAAGGAATTTGTTCAACAATTTCTGCAGCAAAATCATGCACCCTGTTTCTTCCTTTGTTTTTGGCAGATTCTTAGACTGTATTTTTTTAGAATCTTTGCCAAGCGTAATAATATGTTGTTCTTGTATCCTTTTCGTGATATCTGTCATTATGCTATCCTTTTAATAAATAATTTGAATAAGTAACTGTGTTTTTATTAGTTTTGTTGCTCGCGGACATTTATTTGCTTCATTAATGTGTATGTTCTGCAGTGCTGTAATTCATTTTCAGTAATTATATTATTAGCGATAATAAGTACGAGTACTGCATTTAAACTTGAAAGTGAGTAATGGTGATTTGGCAGGTGCAAAGTGCTATCGCCTCGCAAGCCAACGCCGATGCCAACAGCCAACTGACGCCCATTTCCTATGGCACACAGGTCGTCGCTGGGAAGAACTATTTTGTCAAGGTACGAATGCGTTTTGTGCAGTTTCACATAGGGTGTATTTTTCGATTTTTTTCCCTATTAACATTGTCTGTTATCTGACTTTGTATCTCTACGTTTTTAATTTTTGTGCTTATATAAATTAAATTAATTTAATATACGCTCGTGCGAAATTATTAACCAGATTAATCTTTTTAACGTTGCAGCGACTCCAAATTGTAAATTTTCCCGGTAACTTACTATGCAAAAATACACTACCAGTAGCTGTTTTGTGATCGAAACTGCCATGCCAAAATATAATAATGCTTAATACTGCCCATTGATTATATTTGTAGCTGCCTCTGATACGTTGGATTTGTTGAATTTTTTTAACTGGTGCCTTCGATTTAATTGACAGATCCGTATCGGTGCTGATCCCAATGCCAAGTATGTCCATGCGCGCATCTACAAAAATCTCCAGGGTCATTACGAGCTCAGTGGTATCGAAGAGAATCACACCGCCACGGACGAGATCGGTTATTTTGAGCGACACTAACGCGGTTCACTTGCGCTATTGTACGCAGCAGCCGAAGGTGTTTTTAACCTTTTATAAGCTTATGTTTTTTAGTGACCTTCTTTTTTGCTTGCCTGATCTTACTTTTTCCATGATAATTAATCAAGTGACTCTTTTATAATGGGAAATGCGACGCGCATTGCTTGGTAATGGATATGCCATTCCTGTTTGTATGCAATACGTTCCTTAGTTGAAATGCGAATAAAAAGAAACTTTTATTTGATCAGCGCTGTTCTGTGTCAAATGTTAAAACATCAATTTTATAACTATCGACAAATCATTTAAGTTCACCATACTTGCTTTAACATTAGCGGTTAAATTATTTCCCAGTAAAAAAGACTTAAACCGACAGCAGAAAAATGTAGCAAAATAAAACAGGAACATCAAAATCACCGTACAGAAAATTCTATCAAAACTACACCATCAATCACTACTACCAACCACCGACAACGCTGCTACTAAATTACCAAATACTCTCGGGGAAATCTTTACGGCACCGCCTTGGTAATCTTCAGCCCCCCGTCGACATACAGCTCATCGTAGGACAACCCGATCTGCCGCTTAATCTGATCCTGAATGGTGGCAATCAGCAGTGTCTCCTGGTGTGTCATGTGCGGGCTCTCCAGCAGACCGTTCTGGATGCAGCGGCGCACTTCCTGCGCCTCGTACACCATCCCGGCACCGTTCTCAAACACCAGCGGATGCGTGGTGACCGGCAGCGGGAAGCTGTGCTTCTCCTCGTGCGCCGTCTTCTGCGCCGTGTGCGATTTCGGCCCGCTGGATTCATCGCGCAGCTCGGTGACATGGCAGTCGGTGGTGCACCAAAAGGGACGCGGCATCTAGGGGACAATCACCCAATTTATATTATCGTGTTAAATTTTAACTGTCTTTTCCTACATCCGTATTATACTAGACCTTTCATCAAAAACTTTGCATTTATTTTTCGCCGGGACAAAAAGTGGTCACTTTCTGCTTCTAATTCAGTATCCATTAAAAATCTTTATTTACTTGATCGTTTTAAAAATTATTTTCAATTAGAATTCTGCAGATTTTTCCTTTTTTTAATATTTTATCGAAGTAACAGAAGAGTTTTCGCCAAGATAGAACGCAATTATTTCCAATACAGATAACTGTACATTAATTGACTTACAATTAATTTATTTCCCAATTAAGTTATTTTTGGTTTGATTTTTTATCGATGAAATTCTGCAAATATTTCCCCTTCCAGCTCAACCAGAATGTACTGTACAGTATTTGCTTACGCGCACGGAGAAGAAGGCCGCGGTAAATCAAAGATAACAATGCATCCTATCTCAGTAAAAATGATAGCAAACAATTTTATCACCGTTCGCCAACACGCCGAAGTAATGCAAATTATATCAAAATGTATTTCTAAACGGAGAAACCTGTTATCGGGTTTACCTTAATGGAGCCGTCGCTGCCGTAAACGTAAGCCTCACTCGGCAAATCAGTTAAGAATGTCGTGGCAAACTGCGCAGAACGCCCATCTTTCCACTGCAGAACGGCATTCACGCTCATATCGCAGCCTATAAATCCGAAACAGTACTTGTACATTGCAGTTTTTTAAATTTTTTACCATCACCTTATCAAATTCATCTTCGAATATTGGTCAATTAATATTATTATCAATCTACTGTCTGCGAGTTTTATTAAGGATATACGCGTTCAGCAAACGAATAATTTCATTTAATATAATGTAAAGAAAATAGAAGAACATTAAAAATCGCAATTACAGTAAATTTCGCTTAAGTACATGCATATTTAGTTCACATAAATGACATAATTCACCTTCGTGATTGAGTTTGCCGATCGCTTTGACGATGTCCGGCATTTCCGGCCCGTAGACGGCCAGGATAAACTGGATGCAGTAGACGCCAATGTCCACTAGACTGCCGCCGCCCAGCTCCTTGCGGGCCAGCCGGTCGACGTGCGGCGCATTGAAGCCGAACTGCACCGACACCAGCCGCACATCCCCGATGGAGCGGGCCTTCAGGGTCTCGCGCAGTTTGTGATACGACGGGAAGAAGCGACTCCACACCGCCTGCCACAATAAACAAACATTAATTTGCACGATCACAACCATCGATCATACTAATCGCTCCCGTGAGACTAAAAATCACCCGTATTCTATCCTCAGTATTTTTCAGTTTTGTACAGAGTATGAAATTCAAACAGCAAACAACGAGATTCTCCAGTAAATATATTCGCATTCATATTGTAAGTTACCGAAAATACAACGATTTATTGCTATTTCTATTTTTTCAGGTGATTTTTCGTCCCCCGAAAAAAACTTTTCCAAAAATTAACGCACCTCCTGGAAGAATTTTTTCTTCTTCTCAGCCAGCGCAATCAGTTCCTGGGTGTGCTCCAGCATCAGCGTCAGGGGCTTCTCGCACAGGACGTGTTTATCGTTCTCCAGCATTAGTTTGGCCAATTCATAGTGGTTGCTGTTGATGGTACCGATGTACACCACATCTACAAAATAATTCTATACTTATATGCACACATTCAATACAGGTAAAAAATCTGCAAATTATCTAAATAAATCAAATTAAACCGCAATACTTTCAGGTTGTTACGGTTGATTTTTCTTGAGTAACAAACAAATCAGAACCGAAAAACGTCCAGACACTATCGTAAATCATTCATTGTGATTAATGAATTAATCGAACTAAAACAGAACAAGTTAAATATGAATAAAAATTCAATTTTTCAAAGTTCAAAAGCACACTGAAACTCCAGAAAATGAAGCAGGAAAGGAAAATAAATCCGCAAGCACAAACTCACAAAAAAAATTAAATTTCTATGATACAACATTTTCAGTTTCAAAAAGAAAAATAATTTTAAATTACGGTAGGTACCAATTTTCGGTCATCGCTTTGGAATAAATTATTACAATGCAGAATAACTGAATAACAGAACTTTCAAGCCGCAATAATCCCGCAATCGCACAGACCAAGAACAACAGGCAACAGGAAAATTCAATGACCCGTAATTCGTATTTCTTACCGACATCGGGATCAGCGGCAATGGCCGCGTACGTTCCGTAGGCCTTCTTGAAGCCGAAGATGTTGGCGAACTCGTTGGCTTTCCCGACATCACTGGCCGCCACACTCACCATCTAAACACGATGCATTCAGCAAAAATGTGCACTCCGGGCAGCCAGTCTACTGTCTACCTGATGCTCATCGGGCGGCAGGATCTGCAGACACGATGCAAAATCGTTACTGATCTTTCCTGCTCCTACGAATCCCCATCGCAGTGGACCCATCGTTGACGTGCTTGGATGCTTAAGCGCGGCACACAACACCAAGAAAGCACAAACTACCAAACCAAATTCTCCAACAGCGGCACCGATACCAGTATGGAAAGCAGCCGAATATTCTTTGTGACAAGGTATTTACCAAGGGACGCAACAGATAAAAATGACGACGGCTGCAGCCTGCAGTTCTAGTAGAATCAAATAAAACCGATAACGCAGAAAATGGAAAAATCGCTACGATGCTGAATTGCTGATGCTCTGTCAGCTTGCAGCTGATAAAGGGAGGCGTAGCGTGCGGAGCTTATAACTCATGGTCAGCATTTTCTCACGCATAAATCACACAACAATTGACGTGATACGAGTACCGAAATTACCGCAAGGCTTATGATTAATGTAAGCTGACAGCCCCGTAACTTGCTTAAGTAATAATATTAATTTTAAGACAAATTCTTTAAGAATTATTAAGGTGTTCGTTGATATTTGGATGGTGAGGCTGACGTGAGTTGTGCCCTTTACGATATATAGTCGGATGCTGCGAATGCTATCTTCGTGCCATTTGAAACAGTGTGGAAATTATAATATTTTATTCATATGAACCTATTTTTGAACTGATGTGAAAGATAAAAATTAGAAGGTTGGTTATTCAAAGAACTACATATATAAAGACTAAAAATTATTAATTTTGGCATCTCATAATCACGATCGCTTTGGAAAATTTGTTTTTTATCTGTCACTTGTCTACTATCCGCTCAGACATTGAACGATTAAAAGGGAAACTGAGTAGCTCTCAGCAAAGGTGCGCAAGTATTATATACTGACCTAGTCTCTTGTTCTATGTACAGGTTCCTGTCCTATGATTGTATGATCTATGTTCTCGTACATTATCGCGCCATGTGTGGACAGCTACGTAAAATAAATTATGAAATACTGCCGTAAATCGTTTTGCTATATGTTTTGCTTTTTTCTAGTGTAACTTTTTATTGCGAATTCAATGATACCAAAACTGGTATCTGTTGGTGTGACCGGAAGGAGTCAGGTGGGGCTAAAAGGGAGGGGGTAACCGTCAATTTTTTAATGGTTATAATGGCCCCTCTCAGAAATTCAGTAACGGGTGTTTTTCCGTGACCTTTTTAGTAAACTATCGAGTGCTTTATATAAAAGGTATTTGTTACCGGTTAGCAACCAATTCTAGCACGATCACTGCTCGTTGTGAGTTCAAAACAAGATGTATCTCCCATAGACTTTTATGTTAAAACCTACATTTCGAAGAATGTTTTTGCCTGGATCGCGGGTTGCGTTGGACGAGATGTTAGTGGTTTAACGGAAGTTAGAAAGGGACCAACCTTTCTAACTTCCTTTCTAACTTGGTGATTCTCAACCGTCCAACATTTTTAAAATATTGTAGACTGAAGATAATTATTTCTCGTTAAGCAGTGCGATTTTTCGGAAAAAAATGAAAAAATTCGGCTCCCGTTTCCTGCATTATAGCTTTTAGAGCGGAAAGATGGCCAAGGAAGCTGCTATAGACCAAGACCTATCATATAAAATTAACCAAAAACTTACTATAGCTAGACTATAGTAAGTACTTGATACTGTATATAACAAAAATTAATAAGTGCTTGTTCGTAATTTATATTCACCGTTTGTAGCCGGAAGCTAAGTAGCCTGATGTGGTGGTTTGTAAATTCGAATAACTAGTAACTTCAGGATTTTGTTCTTGTATTATTGCATCCATGGATCACCAACAATTATTATTTTTAGTGGTGGATGCGAGTGATGGATTGTTGTCGCGCACCTGGGGTTTCCACTTTCCAGTGAGGTTTTTATTGCGGTAATTGTTGGCGCTGTCACAGTAGAACCAGTACATGCACAGCGCACCATCAAAATCAACGAGCGCCGTCACGGATAGATTGACAGATGACCTGCTTTAAAGAAAATATCACACAGAAAGCGCGACGGATCGTACCCAAACACAGCTTCGGGGCTGCATATAAAGGAGGCAGAACTTCCAATCAGCGGACGTTCCATTCGTTAACAGTCGCTTCGTCGGCAGGTATGCATTTAATTGTTGTGATAGTATGGACCAGGCAGCGTAATCATTATTGTTGATTTGTTGCTCAGCCATTTCGATCGCTGTCAGAACTATACGTAGATTAAACTAAACGTAGATTAAAGACTATTTTGGTAAGACTGATTCGAGCGCTAAATATACGTTAAAAGAAAAAAGAGAGTATTTCGAGGGCGTAATCACGTGTTTACGGTGTACCACCCAGTTAAAAGGTGTGCCTCAATTTACGCGGGGCCCGTTCTGGCTAGCTGTCTACTTCTCGTCGAGAAGTAGACAGCTAGCCAGAACGGGCAGTGCATGTCTGGACTGGACTCTGGACGGTCCCGGAATCCAGCCGTTCCAGTTCTTCGGCCTGTTGGCCGTCCTGCATTGGCGGAGAGTCATGCAGACCCAGACAGCGACGTATCCAGCGGCGTATCCGCGTACTGATTGCAGATATCCAGGTACGTCTCCAGGTCCATACACGTCCGCATGCTGGTGGCAATTTCTTGACTAGAAATGGCAAAAGACTGCCATTCATAGTGAAAAAATTGAAATCCTGCCAGTCAGCATCGACAATAAAAAACTTTCAAAATGTGGTAACCCACCAGGGATAAGACATTTGTCTGGCACTTCTCAGATGATGCGGGCCATAGTTGTGCTGTTCATTAATTATAACTGGAATATTAAGTTTCGGTACAATTAGTACACAGTTTTCACTACAGTTTGCAACTTCACAAATTTTGTTAAGTTGCTAATTGTACCGAAAACTGTGCCGTTGTAATCCATGATTGTGGCGACATCGCGACGGCAAGTTGGCAACTGAAAATTAGTAAGTGCTTGTACATAATTTATATTCAGCGTTTGTAGCCGGAGGTTAATTTGCCTGATGAGCTATCCTGATGTGGTGGTTTGTAAATTCGAATAACTAGTAACTTCAGGATATTTTTTGCGTATTATTTCATCAATCACCAACATTTATGAGTGTTGGGGCTGGATTCGACTAAAGCCGCGCACCTGGGATTTCTAGTGTTGTGTGTATTGTGCCTATTGCGGAAATTGATGGCGCTGGCACAGTAGAAACAGCATGACGAATGAATTAAATCAAAGAGCGCATTCACGGATAATCTTGTTTCTACTAACCAGGTATGTGCTATTTACGCCCTCGGGATGGAACAGTCAGGATTGCTGGGAAAAATTAAGATCAATATTGCCGTAAGAATTTTTTAACAATTACTAGCATGCAAAGCGGCGCATGCCCAAATTATTCTGAGCTGACATCGTGTGCTTAAGCATGATTAAAGTGGTTATTATTTATTTAATTCAGTAACCACCTTATTATGAGTATGCATGTAGGTAGTGGGTGGATATAATAAATTTGACTGTATCTATATGCTTATAGAAAATGGAAATTTTGCACTAATGGATTTAATTAGTTTGAAATACAGTTTAATACGTCTGTCTTTGCCCTTGAAAATAAAAAGCTAAGTATTAGACGTTTTGTGGCGGCAGGACTTCTTCTGTTTGTCCGCTAAAAATTAAAGAGTCCGTGCGGCTGTTTTTTCGTTTTCAGTTATGGTATTTTTAGAACGGACGATAATATGTATTGCGTTTTTATTAGCTTTTCTACACATACAATGGACTTCATAAATGTGGTTACACTTAAAGCCGATAGCGCTATGCATACGGGTGGCTATGTGTAACCACATTAATTTTATGAAGTCCATTGTACTTCTATGCGATAATCCCATATAGGTTTAACTGCCCATACTACCTTGTAAATTATTTCTTGTAAATTAATATTATGCAGCTTAAACTATACGTACACAGTCATTAGACTTACTCCTGCAAGTTCACACACGGGGTGACACGGTAACACTCCAATGTTTGAATACGAGTAGCAGTAAAGGTTTGTTGAATATTTCATAGTGGAACACCCTTATTCTTTCCAGATAATTAAACACAAAAAATATTATATAAGATTTTAACAAAAAATTATAATTAATTCCTTACTGTGCAGATCGATCAAAATTTATTGTACAAATTTTTAGTATTACAAAATTTTGATACTTTGACATTTTTGTAAAGGTGTGGCCTTACCGATCGCATTGCAGCAAGCATATTATATCCATCTGCCGTATGTTTAAGTGCGGTCAATTTTGCGGCGTGGGCTCAGACACTTGCCGAAATTTTCGAAACGTCTTCATGGACCTACTGTAAGTCTTCTGTGTATGACCACTGGGTCACAATTCTGTTTATCATCTTTTAATAGACAATCTCAAAAGGAATCTGGATCGTCAGAGAAAATAATCTGTTCCTAACTTCCTGTTGTGTATAAAAATCTGCCAACTGCCTTATCCTATTGGTGCCCGTGCCGCGATATCCGAAGCGGAAATGTCAGAAGCATTGAACAGGACGCGTAATGTTAGCCGAATTACTTTCCGTGGAACTGAGATTTACGGCCCTGTTTGACGGGTGTGGTTTTTTTTGCAGTACAACTAATACCGCAGCGATTAACCCTATTGTACAATCAAAATATTATTTTGTCTTCCGCTGTATATTATACAAACTCGTTGAGCACCATACAGATAAAAATTTCGATTATTCCTTTACGGGATGCAGTTGTTCTTAAACGTTATTTAGGCTAACTGCCGATCCAGCTGCAAACCTATTAAGGTAATTATATAAGGGAATCTAGAATTGTGTTGTGAAAACCTTTTGTTTGACTAAGTAAATGATGGAATTTTTTCACTTGGTTGCGTATAAGTAAAAGCCGGTACAAAAAACGCAGAGATTAAAACGGTGTCTTAATTACCTATACAAGTACTCTTCTTTGATGGAGCTGATAATATTCGTATTATTATTGCTTTGCAATACATTTCAATACCGGAAGTGTATCAACGACCTGACTAATTGACTCTAACGTCCTAATTATTTTCAAATAACGCCGCTGTCCTATCTGTTGCTTGTGCAGAGAAATAAGTCGATATGTGGTCTACGGCATCAAAAGACAGTTTGCTTAACTAGTTAGAGTTTTTTTTTGTACCCATTGCACAATTTTGTCATACGATTGCCTAAATTTTTTAAAGTTGAAACAAGTTCTCCATTAATTACTGTGCAATAACGGTCGTAAGATTAACATCCCCGTTATGCAAATCTTGATCTAAATCTTTGTGAAATTACGGGAAGCCGAATACTATACTGACATCGACAAACCTGTTAAGGATAGCAATTTCAGATTGCACACTGTAGTTGATATTTTTTGTCGCTTTGCCGCTTCCGCTATATGGTATCATTGCTTGCGGTGACGGCAGTTTTGCCCATCGTTTCTCTGGAAATTTAGCGTGTCCATTTAGTTTTTAATTGACCATGATTGCTTTCCTGCTGGTAACCATTTCAGCGTTGTTCACTGTGTGCTTGGCATACAACAACGGCTACGGAGGTTACGGGGGTGGAGGATACGGTGGTGGTTATCCAGCATTTCCGGCAATTCCGTGGTTTACGTTTCCTCAGCGATGGTCAGGCCAACCAGTTTGTACGTACCGGCAAACATTAATTATACATTTTACACTTGTTAACCATTTCAGTAGTTTACAGTAGGTACCTGCAGAATGCTTGAAAAACTTTGAACTGCGAGCGTAGTACTGCGTACTATAGTTGTCCATATAAGTTGTATAAATTTAGTATACTTCGACGAGGTTTTTAGCATTCCGGACACTTTCCTCTTTCCCAGTATGGACCCGCGTGCCGGACAACAGAGATTCAATATTCTCCGCGTTGTTCCACATAACAGGGATTGATATTTTTTTTATTAATCTCGTGTATAAGCCTGAATAAAAAATATTTACCCCGGGGTCAATTATTGAAAAGTTGTTGTCATATAAATATATTGAGTACAGTATGTGGAGCAGCGCAGTTAGAAAGTATAGTATGTTTTCTCTGGTGTCCAGTACGCTATTTCATACGAGTATTTTAATGTCGCGAATAGTATAGTTGCTTATTTTATTAAGAACTACAGTCTGTACTTTCTCAGTATACTATAGATGCAGGCTGTCAAATGGACGCACGCAACGTTTTGTTCGGAATAATTTCGACAAACACTTTTCGACATTGATCACGTGATAAATATTTTTTTATGCAAGCTTGTACAGGAGATTAATCAAGTGCTTACTGGTATAATTGTTGCTAATAATTATACCTACTTAATTGCTAAATCTTGAAATGCTTGATCCAGCGCCAGCTTTACATCTAATGTACTTCTACAGTACAACACATCTGGACTTTTCTGATGTTTGTTATGCAAAAATCATATAATTTTATTATATCAAGATAGTATATAGTATATACTATATAGGGGGAAATCGAATGCATATTATACATCTTCCCTGTACTGCTCCAGTCATCCGTATGGATCGTCACGTCATGGGTAAACAGGGGTTTTTAAAAGCGCTACATTTATACCTGCGCATTGATTGTTACAAGTCGCTTCAGCAAGCGTATCTCGAAATCCGTATGAGTGATTACCTTCAGACTGCCCTGTATTCCTTAAAAATCTCTTTCCTGTTTTTTAAATGGAGATTTCATAAAGATTTCATAGTTAAACGTTATAGAAAACGAATTTTGTGAACTTCCGGCGCGTGACGCAGGAGACACCGCCCGGTGCGGCAGCGTGATTTGGCGGCATTTGGCTCACATTTTGAGAGCTTTCGAAATCTTCCATCCTTTTGATTTTCAATTTTCGGGCGAAAAAGTGGCTTCTTCTGCGCAACTTTGGTTGCAAAATGAAGAATAAATTACGGGAACCATTTTAAGTGGTAAATGTGCCGTTTTGAACCAGATTTGTGCACACTCAAACGATTCTGCCTGCGCAACACACAACAAAATGCAAATTCTACTGTCACTGCACTGACTGCAGCACTTTGTTGATTATCAGTTTATCACTACCGCCTTACACGGTACTTGTACAAATACCTGCATCAATGTGCAGGTACAAGTATAAATGTAGCGCTTTAAAAACGCCTGTTAAGCCATAACGTGGCAGTCCATACGGATGACTGGAGCAGTACAGGGAAGGTGTATAGTATGCAATCGATTTCCCCCTATATACTGTAACTTTTCTAATTGTAGATCTGCCATCTCCCCGATTTACGCCATGGGAGTAGCCCAAGACCAGACGACTGGTTTTGCCAACTTCCGCTACGACTACTTTTATGACCATAGCGCGAAGGATCCTACCACCGTCGCTCCCGGTGCCCCCGGCGCTCCAGTACCGGTAACTACCTCAACAGCATCTTCCAATACAGTGTCACTGGGCGGCACCGGACGACCTTGTACAGCGCTGTCGGCCTCCAACGTTCTGGGTGCAAAAGACGGCATTTGCATCAACCACGACAAGGAAGGACAGTGTCCCAGCGGAGCGGCCAGTGACGGCGCACCCTGTAGTCCCATCTCTGAGATCTGCTGTGTCCACCAAGCCAATGCGAAGACCGTGATAAACGAAGCTGTTAAAGCTGAGATTAAAGCTGAGAAGGCCGCGTGATATATTTTGGCACACCTTGTACTGTTTGTTATACAGAATTCCAACAAGGTCAAGACTCAAGATAATACGTATGTTTAATTTGGTGGTCAGATTGTTTATGGAAAGCGGTTTTGTGCTGCACAAGCTTGAAATTTGCCGCAGGTACATATACTGACGGCTACCGAACAATCACAGCTCTCCAATACGTACGCACGTACAATTTTAACTACGTATACATTTAAGACAAGACTGTGCAACTGGTCAATTTTGTCAACACCGGCGGTGAGAGCGATTGGTGACAATGTTGTTTGTTGTGAAATGTATATCTGGGAAATGATTAATCAACACATATGCAGAACAATGATTCACGCTCACAATACACGCACAATGAAACGATAACATGTTCGGTGACCTAGTGCTGAATAAGACTTATCACGTTCCTGATGAAACAATTAAGTTTTATTGCTCCAAAGCTTCGAGGTCGGTTTGCGGTTGTTTACGTGAAATTTAATATCAATTTGCCTCCAGATTCAGGAAAGAACTGTCAATTTCCCCAACAATCAAATTCAGCTGAGACTGGAGGGTACAAAAAACTTCTGTATGTACAAAATCAACGTTTCCATAACTGAACATGCAGATGCAACTAAAAGAGATCTTGGCAAGGATCGCCGTGGTTTACACAAAGGTCAAAAAGCGTGTTTAAGCCATATTTTGCTGGATCCACGAGCCATAATAGGCCACATCAGCATAAACACCGGGATAGTTGGCAAAAGCACAGCCTCGTCCCCACGACACCACCCCGACCAGGGTGTCCACCCCACTGGCATCGGAGCAGACCAGCGGTCCACCGCTGTCACCCTGGCAGCTGTCGCGCCCGTCGGCCGCCGCACACAACATCCCATCGACAATCTGTCCGTAGTAGGAATTGGCCGCATTACACGCCGCCCGGCTGACAACATGCACGTTGACCGACTGCAGGATCTGGCTGGAGGATCCCCCCGACGAGGTGGTACCCCAGCCGCTGACCGTCAGCTCCGCACCGGCCGGCGGCGTGACCGTGGCCAAATCGATGGGCTGCACCAGATCGGTGAAGACGATGGGGTCAACCAGTTCAAGGAGGGCGATGTCGTGAGCGTAGGTATTGGGGTTGTAGAGGGCGTGGGAGGCGACGCGTTTGACTTGGTAGTTGGCGGCGTGCGCTTCGAACTGCCCGGAATTGTGCTGGCCGACACGGACCAGGAGTTTGGACGCCGGGAGATCGGTGACGCGGTCGTTTCCTTTGACACAGTGGGCCGCGGTCAGGATGTAGGTGGCGCTGATGATGGAGCCGCCGCAGCCCCAGCTGGACGACTCAAAACTGCCAAAGTAGGTGATGGTGCGGCGGAGGTGGATCTGGTAGGGATGGTCACCTTTGCTCACATGGCTACCACCGACGATTTTCGGCGGGGCGGCGTATGACACCGTACCTGAAAAATTTTATGCTCTCTAATTTTTGCCAACTAATATTTCAAATTCTTTTGTACATGTAATTATCATACAGAATACTGTATTCAGTTTATCTGTTATTGTAAATTTATACAAGCAAAAAATATTTTTAAGAAGCGAGAGAATAGCTGACAATGTAAACTTTTCTTAAATTAGGCTTAAGGTTACAGAAAGCTACAACGTGAATGAATTAAAAGAAATCGAGTGCGTCGAATTCGATAAATTCCAGTCAGGTATTTTGACTTACCGAGTAATAGAGCTGCAGCCAAAATAACGAGTTTCATTTTTAGAAGAATAATTCAGCAATCGCTTTAAAAAAGGACAGTGAATATACAGATTAGTTTGTATTGCCACGCTAACGACTTCTACAAGACTGGAAAGGAGATTTGCTGATGTTTATTCCAGGTCAAGCCCAAAGTTTTTATACCTGCGGGATTAAACAGGAATCCCGATTGTGACGCGAAACTATAACCAATCTTATCAGCTCCGGTGTAATCATGTACAAGGTCGTGGAGGCTCCTACACTTCCGGTGCATACAGATACCGTGCCGGTTCGTACGACATTCTTGGGGTTATCCGAATTCTTTCATGGCGTGGCATTGTTTCCGGTCACAATGGACAGGATCACACGCATTCGCACGCGAGTGTGCATTGCAACGCTTGAAGAACGAGCGATTATTCATTGCGGGAGCTATAATTATATCGCAACAATACCAATATATATTTGGACGATAAGATTTGGGCAATCTGCATGGACTGAATAAATTATTCTTAGAATCAGTGCAGTATGCACATATGAAAAAGTTGATGACGAGCCTGTTATCGATTGTCTTTAAGATACACTGGAAAAATAATATTATCAGTTGGTCTGGTGATTTCATTGACGCTTGAGTAGTTATAAATATGTAATCCTGCCACAAACGTAAATAAATTTTAATAACAGGCGTGTGTTTGGTAACTTTGGTTGAAATTATATATACACGTAGAAAACACGTGTTTCGCCGTATGAGCAAAATTAAGAAACTTGACCTTCACGATCCAAAAAGCAGGCGATATACGGTAACGTAGTCGGGCAGCCTTTCGCCGGTAAAGGCTGCAGACCGCGTGGTATTAATTATGTAGTAGTTAAAAATTGCTCAGAAGAGCATGAAAACTGAGTCATTGTAAATATTTTTCGCTAATTAATTAGGATTTGTTGCGAGTATGAGAGCATAAGCTACTGTATTTTACAAGCTAAAGTGCTGAAGTCACATAGAAACCGTGACGGACGGTGCTCAGTTTGCCTGCATCTACGAGCATAATTATGCACATAAAAAATCTGCTTAACTACTGTACTTACAAAAACTGGCACAGTCTTCGTACGTAATCAGTAAATCAACATAAATAAACGTATTGTCGCCGTCCCATCAATTCAAATACAGACAGTTTTTAATTCATGCCGATGCGAATGTTCTCTTAATTAATTATTAAGCTAATGTTGTAGCTGTTGCCGATGGGTTGCGTTGCGTGAGGGGGTCAGGGGTGGGGCACTTTTGTTCTACGTACGGCGAATGGTTTGTATGCTCACGATGTAATACCACTGCTTAAACTGCAATCGAGGATGGTGAGCTCATTAAAAATGGATTGCCGGCAACTTCACCCCATGGCTTTCCAACATGGATGATGAGCTCGTATTACGCATACGCAATATGCGCTACGTCACATCCGTACTTAACCTTAGCGTAGGTTAAGTACGGATGCGATCTATAACGTGTAGTTCACTGACCCGAAAACCGCATACGTAACACCGAGGATGTGTTGAATAATCACCGTGAAACTCATAGCAATTAAGATTTACGAGTCTTATGTATGTAACTCGTATATGGGTTTATATTGGATTTAGTACTTAATACTCCACAAAGCCGAATATAACTAAGCGGATTATTTATTAAACTTTGTGGGAATGATTTCCAGCTTGTTCGAACAGAAACGGACAAAATATACATTAGGCCAAGTACAATTTAAAATAACAGATAGTTAATGAAAAAAATGTGGTATTAAAAATGCGCATGCTAAAAACAAGTATTTAATTAGTGCAGTGTACTGTAAAATTCAAGCGAGCTGTAAAGCTTTGCTGCTTCTTATGATAGCTTTGCTGCATAAAGGGTCAAGCAATCTATGAAACCAAAAAGGGATGGTTAAGAAAATTACTATGAATACTGTATGGTTTCTAAGCCTTTAAAACTTGTAGCAACTAATCTTAGTTCTTTCATCTTTATAAAATATTATTTTTTTTCGATTTTCGTGTCTCAAATTTTCGACCAATGTTGCAGTTTTTCAAACAGATTGACATTAATCAGCACCAGTTTTGTTCAATTTAATGCCGTCATCTGGCCCAAGAAAAATCAGGATGTGATGGACTACGCAGGATACACCAACCTTGCCTTTCACTTCCCATTCCCGTAATAAAACGCTCTAAAGAATCGCAGCACTTTCCATCAAAATTGGCATACAGTGTAACCATAATATAATCCGAAATTGCCAACATAAATCACAGCAAAATGAAGAAGCCGATCAAAAAGCATAATAATAATTAATAACAACGTAACGAAGCACGTATATAGAGCTGATTACAACACCAGTTACACTTGTGCGTGTATCACAGACGACATAGAAACAAAAAAAAAAGAAAACAACCCGAAGAACTGGCGCGTAGCCCGGTTCCCACGCGTCTATACCATGGGAACGAGCGAGGCCTCCTCCGTTTTGGGACAAACCCGCGTGGGCGGGGCCACCGAGAAATACGGCGTCTCCTGCCGCACCGTCGCACCCAGCAGCCGGACATCAGCGTGGATATCACTGCGTGATGTTTTGCTGCTTGATTTATTCTGCAATAAACAAAAGCCCAGCACGGCACTGGCGATGAGCAGGAGCCCGGTGATCCCCAGGGAGACGGAGATACTGAGATAGAAGGCCGCCAGGATCCCCTCCTGCCCGGCATCCGGCGCGTGGTCTTTTTTTATGAGGGCCAGCATGTAGCGTGAAAGGGACAAGGAGCCATGGCTGAAGATCAGGAGGCAGACGAGAAACAACAGCTCAATGACGCCGATACAGGCCGCCACGGTGTGCATAGCTAGACAGGTGGAGAGGGTCGTCGGGGAGGTCACGGGGCGGGTGCCGACGACGGCCAGGATGCCGGAAATGAGGGTCAACAGACAGAGGAAGAAGATGGCGGAGTGGACGATGGCGAAGTCCATGTACGGAATCATATATACAACTGTAAAAGGACAACAAATTCAAAATATTATTTTGCTCAAGATGGTACGTTTTTATGCTCGCACATTCACGATAACATCCTGATTCAATTACTAACAGTACTATTATTTGAGTAAAGACTTCATCGCTCACATTTTTCAAAATTATAGAGTCAGGATTACGATTTCTTTAATATATGCTGTATTGGAACAACCTCATGGCTCATGATGAATTCATAAACAGAAATCTTTGTTATTTGAAAACAAATATACAGAGTATATCAACCGCATATCAGCTCCACTCCAAATTTGCCGTAAAACATTGTCACAATTAATGGATGCGTAATCGACACCTAAAAACTATTTTAAAAAACTCAAAAATTAAATAAAAAGGCTTGCGTAAAGTTTCTGAATATTAGTAGCACCGAAGTATCGACGTCATTTAAAGTAAAGTGCTTTGACTGCAGTGGAGCAGAAATACTGCAGCTCTGCAGCGCTCGATTCGGCATATTGCTGAACTGAACAAAAATAGAAAAATGTCTATGCTCCGCAGTCGGTGCTTGCACATCATTTTTGTATTTAGACAACCTTATGGAGTACCTACCTAGCGAACGGTACTTTTAAAATATGCCGGTTACCATGTTCATACATAAGCAATGAAATCTTTGTACCAGTACTCGCTCGATTTTCACTTCGATTATTGGGATTTGTTTGCTGGAACAAGTACTGCCCGCTTGTTCATATACGATAACTGCACTATTGCAAGTCAAAAGACTTTCAGAATTAAATAACTAGATTCCAGTGAATACGCACAAATGGAAAGTGGCACCTTTAATATGAATATTTATAATAAAATTATTAATTAGATCAGCATCAGCTTGCAAAGTTACCACACTCCACTGATTTAAAATATTTATAGCACATACTCTGTATAATCAAAATTGTAGGCGGTTTTCTTGCAATAAAAAGGCGGTAGCTCTGCTTAGCCTGCCGATCTCTTAAGTATCACTACATCTTACTCAAGATTTTTTTTATTGCCACTTTCCGGCACTGAATCGTCCCGGGCCGGCACGGGACAAAGCCCTATCGATTACACTGATCAGACAACACATTTGCGATAGAAAATCGGAGGGAAACTCTTGCCGGCAGCGACACGCCAACGCCGCGATATACACCGCGGTGCGATCGTTAACTGTGTCTAAACGAAAAATCATTTATGTTAATTGATAATTATTATTGATAATTGAATGGCCACTTGTACCCACCGCCTACGTTGATAACAGCTTGGAAACTATTTCGGCAGCGGTGTAGTTTCGGCCTGAGCATTTTCTGTCTGGGCAGCCATGTTTAAAAACTCGTAAATCATCGCTTCAACGAAGCGAAGACATGTCTGATAGTTTTTCCGCTACGACTCCTTGTACGCGCCGAGCGCCGACAATAACGAACACGGTTGTATTATATTCAGCGAACGAGAAAAACTAGCTCAAGTGAACACCATAGTGCCGCGACGGCCCACTGCAATATACAAGGTCAGACGCAGTTATACAGCGCGGTATAAATTTATACGGATCGATGCTAGGCCTCAATAAAATTTGCCACCATTTCCCCCCTTTAACCGCGCTCAACCTGCAGGCGACGATTAAACGCCGTCACAATTTACTTTTCGGACATTTACCGCTCTTGTAAAATTGGCAATAAAATCGTCAGATGACAGTTCGAAATTACCATGCCACTGCCATAACCGGCTTTCACCTTTATATCCTTTCATAATGCCAAGCACGTTGGTAATCAAGTGAATGCACTAATTTCCCTGCATGCAAATTTTCCGCCGGCCGTTATCAGTCTGCAGCGTGCGTCGGCCGATAAGAGATTTTTAAGAAAGACAGTCTTAAAACGTGGTTACATCATCCCTCATCAATCATCCGCTAATAAGTCTTTGGCAGGCCACATGCCAGGACTACGCGAGGTGTCAATTTAGTACATTGAGGTATTCGTACAAAATTCAATTTACTCCCCGCAACAAAAGTCGCGCGTGTAAAAACCGCCCCAAATCAATTGCCGGCATCTTGTATGTCGGACGCCAGGTGAAAGAAAAAGCCGGTATTTGCATCCTTACCGAGAAGATTGATACACACCACCGCTAATCCGGCCAGAATCTCCACAACACCCAGACAGCGCAGTATACTCCGTCGGCAGATTAATCGCTCCACACAGCCCACTGTCCACATTCTCAATCCACTGTAAATGAAGACATCAACAACAATCGACACGCACAGTGGTATTTTTTTAAACGGTTACACACGCCGCGCCACCAAGCGGAAAATTAGCAATCAAATTAACGCCGTGACGCGGAGCGGCAGACGGAAACATTAACTAGGATGCTGTGAGCGCGTCTGCGGCGGTTGAGATCGATAGCGCGCGGTTTGTGGGAAAACGTTTGTACCTTGGACGCGACACACATAACAGTCTCATTCCATCTGTCTGGTCAGACGCTGCATACACACACACACACTGAGCTGTCTCGGCAGAGCCCTTGAGCATACACACTACAGCCACACTCTCTGTTTACAATGAACTGCATTTACTGGCAAAGTTTCTGCTGTTGATAGACTTTTTCCACTGTATGCGCTCGCACTCGCTCTCTGGCAATTTTCCTCTATGGATTATTTTGTGCAAACAACGCTTCGCCGGTCCAGCAACAATGCTCTGGCGCCCGTCGCGTTCGATAGAATTTATTCCCGGCACAATGTCCAGATAGAGAGGGAGTTCCCAGAGTGCCATTTGTAGTACCATTGAAATGCATGATAATCACGGAGAAAAAGTGGAACAGGCTTGAAAAATATGTGCTCATCTGTTCCATTACCGCAAGTGCCTGCGTGTTACATATGTCCCGCTTACCTTTCGCTCAGATTATCCGCGATCGATCAGCACGCATTATGGTAATTGTGGTTATTTATACAAAGGGAAGAGCATACAGATAGTGAACGGAAGAGAGAGAGAAGAAAAAAAATTGTGCCGTCGCAACAAACATCAACACTGACGTGCACGGACAGTGTAAATTACATGCAACCATCTTCTGTCGGCAGTTTTGCGGGTTGCCATAACGATAACGAGCGCCGCTAATAGCCCATCACGCAGACAGTTAGTTCGTGGAAAACCGTACCGAATCTCGTTCAGCATCAATCAGACAGCAGTGTACTCTACTCGTACACCGAACACGATGTTTACACCCGATAATCATATCGTCTCTCCTCAAATGACCGCTTGTACGAGGAAACCGTATGGTGTAATAGGGGTTCAAAATGATAGTAGTGCAATCTTATGCTGTCGATGATTATTATTGCGGTTAACATTAGCACATGTTCATTGATGTTCACCTTGCCATGTAAGTGTGTATGCAACCGGCTCTGTGTATCTGTACATCGTACTTAACAGGCTTTAATAAACGTTACAAGCCGGCTATTGTTGCCGCTGCAATGGGTGTATTACGTTGTCGGGCTCTGGTGGTTTTCTGCTGGTGTCCGCAGTTTAGGATTTCTTTAAGCACACTTGAAACCAGCTTTTGCATTCCTTTCAATAATGCACAAATACGCCCGCTTACCTGCTTGTGTTTGCTAGACACTGAAAAGGAATTTTCGCCACATGGACAAATACGCACTCTGGGTACGGCAAACTCTGCCCCAGCGATTTTTAGCACAGCGGGATCGTTTTGTACAAATTATCCTCCGGTCGTGGCTTTCTTGCAAAAATAGGATCAATGTTTACATTTCCAG